CTCTTTGACCTGTCTGTTTCCTCTCCACCTATCTTCTCCTCTATCCATCTTCTATCCGCCTCCCACTCTCTCCCTATTTATTTCAGAACCCCCTTCCCCTCCCCGATTTCTGATGAAGGGTCTAGGCCCAAAACGTCAGCCTTCCTGCTCCTATGATGCTGCTTGGCCTGCTGTGTTCATCCAGCTCTACACCTTGTTATGTAAGAGTCTATTGGAAGAGTTATAAAAGGTTTATCTTTATCTTAAAGGGATATGGGTTTGCAAGCCTACATGCTGTAGGAATACTGTAGACTTAGCGTCTTCCTTGTGTGATCCAGCCCAGCTTGCAGGAACATCTAACACAGCTGATCTCCTTGAATCATGGAACTGGATCCAACGTTGGGTTTAGGAGGATACTTTCTATTATGCAAGTGCAAGAGACTTGGGCACCTGAATAAGCTGGAATCCAGTACATTGACAGTGATTGAATGGATTGCCCTTGAGGAGCTGACATTGAGATGTTGCCATGAACAGCTGTAGTCCCAAGTGGTTCAGTCCACCCACAGAGCACCCACCTACAGGGAGATGAATTGGGTTCCTTCCTGGTCACTAGTCCTGTGGTCTGGGTGCCAGGGCCAGCCAGGATCACTCATGGTGGCTACTGTGGAATCATAGAACGGTCACAGCGCTAAAGGAGGCCATTCAGCCTGTTCTCTGCAAGAGAGACTCAGTTCATCCCACTCCCCTGTCTTTACCCTTTGGCTCTGCAGTGCTTTTTCCCTGTTCAGATTATTATTCAATTCCCATTTGAAAGCTACAATTGAATTGCCATTTAAATCATATTCAGCTGCTCAGCCAAAGTGCATAACATTACATTTTGCCATCATCCATGATTTTGTCAATTCACTTAACCTGGCTATATCTCCCTGTAAACTTTTTGTATTATCCTCACCACTTGCCTTCCTGCCTGTTTTTGTGTCATCGACAAACTTGGTGATAGTACATTCACTTTCCTCATCCAAGTTATTAATATTAATTACAAATAATTGTGGCCTTAGCACTGATCCCTGTGTCACTCCATTAGTTACAGGTTGTCATTCCTGAAAATGCCTCCCTTATCCTAACTCTCTGCCTTCTATGAGTTAGTCAATCCTCTATCCATACTAACATACTATCCCCAACAACACAGTAACTTAACATCCCATTGCTGCCACTTGTGCTGGGAGCCTGTTGGTTTGCTGTTATGCTGAAGCTGGGTAGGGATGAGCTGTGTTTGAGTTGAATGCAACAGAATAAAACATTTTGGGCAGCATGGTGGCTCTGTGGTTAGCACTGTTGCCTCACAGCACCAGGGACCTGGGTTCAATTCCAGCCTCGGGTGACTGTCTGCGTGGAGTTTGCACATTCTCCCCATGTCTGCGTGGATTTCCTCCGGGTGCTCCGGTTTCCTCCCACAGTCTAAAGATGTGCAGGCTAAGTGCATTGGCCATGCTAAATTGCCTGTTGTGTTCTGGGATGTGTAGATTAGGTGGGTTACAGGGGGATAGGTCTGGGCAGGATGCTCCAAGTGTTAGTGTGGACTTGTTGGGCCGAAGGGCCTGTTTCCACACTGTAGGGATTCTATGATTCTATTCTATGCGGTACCTTTTCAAACACCTTTTGGAAATCCAAATACATTATATGTTGTGGTTCCCCTTTGTCTATCCTGAAGCTGGACCAGTGTTTTGTACAGGTTTATCATAACTCCCTTGCTTTTGTACTGTCTGACTCTGCCAATAAAGCCTAGGATATACCCCTGGTCTGTCTGCTCCTGCACCACTTAGAATGTATTTGATAATTTTGTATTGCCTTTTCTCACTCCTCCTCCCAAAATTTACAATCTCTTCTCTCCTTCCATCCTAAAGAAGAGCAGCTATATTGTTGAGATACTGGAAGACTACTCCTGTGTGTGAGATTGTATTATTTTGAGATGATGGTGGTAAAGGTAGGTGGGACATTAAGGATGATTTCTCAATTGCTTGTCATGGCTTTTAAAAGTAAAACTCTTTTTCTCTTTCCTAGATTTTTCAGTTGAACAGAAGCTGCCCAGGGGGATGTCACAAGTTTAAATCGCAGTTGGATCTCCTGACTTTCTGAAGGTCAACAGCTTTTGAGACACAGATTCTAGATCCCTCAGAAATATTTCCAGCCACTGGTATGATTGATTTGTCAGCCTCTTGCTGGAGCTCTCCACCTTTCTCCTTTTTTTAAAAGAATTATTTATTTGTTCACGTGTTGCAGTTATTGCCCGTCCCTATTTGTCCTGGCTAAGGTGGTGGTGAGCTGCCTTCTTGAACTGCTGCAGGCTGCGTGCTGTAGACAGACCCACACTGTCATTAGGGAGGCAATTCTTTTCAGCTTCTCAAACCTGTTCCTTTATTCAATTAGATTACAGCTCACCTGTATCCCAACTTCCCTGTCTGATATAGGGGCACCCATTGTGCTGTTAGAAAGAGAGTTCTGGGATTTTAACCCAATGACAGTGAAGGAACGGCGATATATTTCCAAGTCAGGATGATGAGTGGCTTGGAGAGGAACTTGCAGGGGGTGGTGTTCCCATGTATCTGCTGCCTTTGTCGTCCAGGTGATAGCAGTCATGGGTTTGGAAGGTGCTGCAAAGGAGCCTTTATGAGTTGTTGCAGCGTATCTAACTGTGTGCTTTCCATTTTTCTCTGTTGCTCAGTGTGAGCTCCAACACAATTTGCGCTTATGTTTTAGTCTTGTAACGTTGAATTCCTAAGTGTCTAAACTTCTCTCTCCTCTACCTCCCACAGAAAGCTTCCTCCATCTCTCTGTCTGTCTGTCTCTCTCTCTCTGTTGCTCACAGTCTCTGGTAACTCAAGGGATGACCATCACCTACACAGCGCGGGTGGCTAATGTCCGCTTTTGCAGTTTTTCCAAACTGCTGGTTCTCTGGAAAGGCAGCATCTACAAACTCCTCTACAAAGAATTCCTCGTCTTCTCCTTCATGTACGCAGTGCTCAGCGTTGCCTACAGGTTAGTAACTGCTCCTCAAGAGCTGAGTAAACCTGCTCTGTGTTATCTGCTATTCCATCATGGTTTTTGACAGCTGTGCTGCTTGTACTGAGCATCAAGGTAGGAGCTTGGTTGCAGGTAATTTGAAGAAATCCTGCCACGGGCTGTTTGAGTCTCCCTGAAGACCCGGTGCTCAGGAAGAGGCAAATTGTTGACCTGCTGGTGATGCTTGAAGTGGAACATTAGGAGATGTGAGCTTAGATATGATGGCCCTCATGTTCGAATAGCTTGCTGATGCTCAACTATTACATGAAGGATGATTGTTTGTGCGTGGCACTGGGAGGCAGCTGAATACATTGACCTGAGGATGAGTGAGGGGAAGGCTGTTGGCATTTATTATGCAGCGGGCTGTCAGAAATGATGGTGGCTCCACATCCATTAGCTTTTGAGGATGTAGGGAGCAGAGCAGGCAAGAAAGAGAGAGGGCTTTGAGATGCTTCATTTTCTTTTCCTCTTCCCTTCCTGATTGGAATGGGTCTGGAGGCTTAGAAAAACCTGCTTGGTGCATTTCCCCTAATTGTTGCCTTATGAAGTCGGTGGATTAACAAGAACGTTCGAATTAAGAAACACAGGCATTTGGAATCTGGTACCAAATCACTTTGACCTCTAGATAAAGCAGCAATGTGCCCAAAAAAACTGAGGACCAACAACTTCAGGTTCAAGGGTCTAAACTTAAGCAGCTGAATCTGGGATAAGTTCGGAATAAGTTAAGCTTGGAAGGGTTGGCTCTGTTGACTATGGGCACTGTCAGCTTCACTTATGAACTCTCATAAATGCACTTCTCCCTGAACTTCATCCAACTCTCCTCAAATATGAGATGAAGTGAGGGCGCTTCCTTCTCTCTTTGATTAACCATGAAAAACGGTCCTGGTTGTTCTCAGAGTTTGTATGCGGAGATGTCTGAATGGTCACTAGGGGCTTGTTGACTGAAAATATACAGAGTAACATTGTTACTGAAAACAAAAAATACTGGACATCACAACAGGTCAGGCAGCATCTGTGGAGAGAGGGCAAGTTACCATTTCGAGTCTAGATGGCTCTTTAGCAGAGCAAGTGAGTTTGTTGATTGTTTATCAGAGAATTATTACAATGTAGAAAAAGGTCATTCGTCCCATCATAACTGCACTGCTTTTATCATTGGTTATCAATCGTATTTAATTATATACAAGTGAGAGGGCATTAATTGAGGTTTCACATACAGTCTTAAAGCATGGAGGAAAACCCTTCAGCCCATCCTGTCCCTGCTGGTAAGCTTGAGCACATATGAGGAGACACCTACTGTAACTGTGGTGTGATTGAGTTTGGAGGCATGTGCTTGAAATTTTCCATTCTGTAAATAAATATAAGACTGAGTAGAGACTGGCTCCAATGCTACCCTTTGTCAATTGGCTTTCTATAATTGAACAAGTTTAGAAAAAACAGGATTATTGGAATGTTACCCAAAGGGAATTCTTTTGGGGCAAATGAGGAACAGGTGGATAAACATTAGAAATGGAGGAAGTTACAGAACAACAATGTGACAGAGTGCGCAGAGCAATGTGATTAGTTTTGGATTGCTCCCTGATGGGTTGAATGGTTTCCTTGTATAACTGTCTTTGGTTGGAGGCTGGTAGTGGAAAAACAGTTAATTCGATTTAAAGATTTTCTCTTATTTATCATTTCATTTTTACTGCTGCAAAAGGTTTGTGCTGATTGAGGAGCAGAAGAGATATTTTGAGAAACTGGCCCTGTACTGCAATCACTATGCTAACCTAATCCCTATGGCTTTTGTACTCGGTAGGTTATTTCTTAATTTGTGTTCTCCTGTTTGCTTTATTCTGTTCCCCCAACTTTTTCCCGAACCTCTGGAAGCACCAGTCTGTCTGCTCTCGCCACCTGGTCTAAATCCTTTAGCCTTGCTGTCCTGTAATTGGGAATAATTGGGAAGTAAGTTAGAGGTGGCCTCTGCTAATTAAAGGCTTGTTTCCAAATTCCCAAATGTTCTGGCCAGAGGTTCACCATTCAGGGCTTATTGTGAACAAACCCTCTGTGAGTTTTCACCCCTGCTCTTCGTAAACTTTGGCAGCATCAATGCAACTCCACAGCAACTATCTTTATGGGTCTGCTGGTGTGCTGCTGGGGAAGGCGGGCTAGTATTGTGGTGAATGGCAACTACTGCAGTGACACTAGGAGCGGATGTACACACTGTCCTCTCCAAAACATTAATAATCCTCCAGATGTATGACTGGCATCGGCAGTCATGTTAGACACAATGCCCCCTCCCTCTCCCAAGAATTTAGGGTGGACTTTGACCTCTCCCCACCCCTTCCAACCACTCATAGGGGTTACCCAGTGTGCTGCTGAGATCAGACGGGAGACTGGTCTCTGACCTGTCCCATGGAAGCTGGTATAAGACCATACGATATAAGAGCAGAATTAGGCCATTTAGCCCATTATGACTGCTCCACCATTCGAGCGTGGCTGATATGTTTCTCAGTCCCATTCTCCTGCTTTCTCCCTGTGATCCTTGATCTCTTCAGTAGACAAAAAAACTTATCTGTCTTAAAGATGCTCAATAACTTGGCCTCCACAGCCCTCTGTGGCAATGAGCTCCACAGATTCACCACCTTCTGACCGAAGAAATTCCTCCCCACCTCAGTTTCTAAAGGTGCCTTCACTCTGAGGCTGTGCCCTCAGGCCCTAGTCTCTCCTACTGATGGAAGCATCTTCTCCATGTTGACTCTATCCAGGGCAGTGTTGCCATTGTTTTCAGAGCAAGTGGACAGGAAGAAGAAGTTAGCTATGGGTGAAAATGGGCTTATACCCTGCTGTTATTAGACTTCTGAATGGACCTCTCAAATTTTAAATTTAAGTTGATCTCACTGTTTGTGCACCTTCTCTGCAGTTGTAACATTATATTCTTTGCTCTGTTCTGTTGCCCTAATGCACTTTGTATGGTATATTTGCCTGTACTGCACACAAAACAAAACTTGTCACTGTACCTAGGTACATGTGACAATAATAAATCAAATCAAATTAAATCAAAATGATGAAGGTAGAACCCTCTTTGTGAACCCCATCGGTCTATGGTCTATCAGAGAGAATTCCTCTCCTTCACGTTGATGGAGAAGCCAACAGAGGAATTAATCTGGCAGGGGGCGGCTGGGGATGAGGGTCACAATCAGAGGATCATGTTATCCCATGAAATCAATGGAGTACAAACAAATGTTGGCATCCGTACTCTCAGATGTTGGAGTGTAGCAGACCAAACGTGGGTGACAGGAACAGATGGTGCATTTACCCTAAAGCAATGAAGATCATTTTGACAAGGTATATTTCGAGCAAAGGTCTAATTCCTGAGGGTGGTCCCATTTGCCATGCCATATTAGGGCACAGACAGCAGCTCAGATGCACAGTTAAGTTCTTTGTTTCTTGCCCCCTTCTAACTCCAATGCCCACCCTGCAAATATTTGGAGGCATCAACAGCTGAGATATTATTTTGCTGGAAAAGAAACCTCCAGTGGTTCAAGGCCACTCCTCAATTATTCCCTGCTCCCCCACCCTGGTGTCCTTGCCCACATTGGCACCACAAGTAGCACATCTGCAACAACAGAATAAATGGATTATTCATTGCATCGTGGTTTGTGGGACTCTATGTTCAAGGTAGCTGTTGTATCAGACTGTGTAAAGGGATATTGGTGATGTAGCGGGAATGTTGCTGGATGGGTAGTCGGAAAAACCCAGGTTAATGTTACGAGGACATGGGTTCAGATCCTAGCACGGCAGATTAATTATCTGGAGTATAAATCCGTATATGACTCCAGATATTGTAATGTCTGAAATGACCTAGCAACCCTCTCAGTTCAAGGGCAATTAGGGATGGGCAAGAAATGCTGTTTGGGCCAGCTTTGCCCACATCCCCAAGAAAGACTAGAGAGAAAAGACAGAATGAACTTCCACACATGTCAGAGAGCCAACAGAAATTGAGGAACGATGGGCAGCAATAACTTAAGTGAGGTGCAGTGATCATTTACCATCTTATTTACCACTGTCAAGCTGAATAATTTGCTCTGATTGTTGTAGCTGCTTAGAATAATGGAAGCAGAGGCTATTCAGCCCATTGTGTCTCTACTGACCCTTCAGTCCTGAGGCACCGCCAGTTGTTTCTTGTCACTTGGACCACATTGATTCATGGATTTTTTTCCCCTGTCTTCTTTCCCCCTCCCCCTCAGGTTTTTATGTCACCCTTGTTGTAAACCGCTGGTGGAACCAGTACACCAGTATCCCGCTCCCCGACCGGCTCATGTGCGTCATCTCGGGGAACGTGCATGGGGCGGACGAGCGGGGTCGCATGCTTCGTCGGACAATGATGAGATACGCCAGCCTCTCTGCCCTCCTCATCCTCCGCTCCGTCAGCACTGCCGTCATCAAACGCTTCCCCACCATGGATCATGTCGTCGAGGCCGGTAAGGCGACTGCAGGAGGCATCGCAGACCGCTCAGAAGCTTGGAGCTGTACCTCTGCAACGGCCAATTGCGAAATGTTGCTGCCGTTATTTTAGGAAGGGAAGGAGGGAGGGCGGGAGAGACAGAAACCCGCTGTGTTTGATGGACAATTGGCTAAAGAACCAGGGAGAAAAGATAACATTTTACACATTGGAGAAGTGTTCCAAAGAAGGGTCACTGAAATGTTGACTCTGCTTTCACTTTCCACAGATACTGCTCAGGACCTGGTGTTTCTCCAGCAATTTCTGCTTTTGATCTTACACACTGTCTTGTTGTGATATTGAATGCCACTTTTTTTAGAAAACATTGAATATAGGATGTGGGCTAGGCGAGCTTTCTTCTCAATCAAGTGAGGTCTGCAATAAACATTAGGAACCTGGTTTAATGGGCTTTTATTTTATCACATCGCAACATGGGTCCTGAGTTCTGCCCATGGTGGATGCTGGGTAAGTTGGCATGGTGGGTTTAGGGGCAAAGATTGGTGAGTGGGGGCATGAGTTAGCACTGAGTTGGTACAGGGGCTATTAAAGGTGGTAGAGAGAGGCATGGAGAGTATGAGGGGCCAATGGGAGCAGGTACACAGTGTAGGGTGACATGCACTGGCATGGATGACATCTCGGGTACATGTGGGTGTGAGGACTGGAGGGCCTCTGTCATTTCCACCAGCCTGCCAAGACATTGGCGCTCCTCTCATTATGGCCTCTGGTGCTTCTCTGGTGTTGGTCGTTCCGCTGTTGCTGACCTGGTCCTCAGTCGCCTCGGGTCAGAGATCGGAAATTGCCTCCCTGTGTGTCTCTCTGCCTCCGTTTATCCCTTTTAAAATAACCCTCAAAACCCACTTCTTTGACCCATGCTTTTGCTCATCTGACCCAATAGAGGCAGAAACCCTCATAACATTTAAGAAATATTTTGATGTGAACTTGCAATGCGAAAGCATACAAGGCTATGGGCCAAATCCTTGAAAATGGGATTAGAATATTGAGGTGCTTGTTTTGACTGCCACAGAAGACCCCTATGACTCTAGTATCAAACTATGTGGTCACATTTTGATTTATAATGCTCTTGTGAGGCACCTTATGTCATTTTATAATGTCAAAGGTGCTCGAGAAATGTGGTTTATGGTTGTCATGGCAACAGTATTCCATGCCCACTACCAAACTGAAATATTTCATTGCCAACTGGAAATGATGGTCAAGGCAATGGATTAAGGCTAAGAATAATGACAAGAAGATGACATTTGAACCTAAGAGCATAAGAAATAGGAGCAGGAATGGGCCATCTGGCCCCTCAAGTCTGCTCCGCCATTCAATAAGATCATGGCTGATCTTTTCATGGACTCAGCTCCACTTACCCGCCCACTCACCATAACCCTTAATTGCCTTACTGTTCAAAAATCTATCCATCATTGCCCTAAAAACATTCAACGAGGTAGCCTCAACTGCTTCATTCGGAGGGAATTCCACAGATTCACAACCCTTTGGGTAAAGAAGTTCCTCCTCAACTCAGTCCTAAACCCGCTCTCCCCTTATTTTGAGGCTACGCCTCCCAGTTCTTGACCGAAGTATTTCAGCTATTAGCACTCGGATCGTTGAATGTAACCTGTTTCCTTTGCAGGGTTTATGACCAGAGATGAGCGAAAGAAGTATGAAAGTCTTCACTCTCCCTATAACAAGTATTGGATTCCGTGTGTCTGGTTTACAAACCTGGCCGCAAAGGGACGTAAGGAAGGCCGAATCAGAGATGACAACGCCCTCAAGCTGTTAATGGAGGTATTGAGTTTTCAATGTCATTGAATCTAGACCATGTTGGAAGATGGAGGCCCACGTGATTCAAATCGTTTCCTCCCAGTTCCCATCTCCTCTTTGATAGTTTTGACATCTAGCGATGGGCCAAATAGCCTCCTTCTGTGCTGTGTCCATGCCGATATTGTTCAGTCTCACTCTGAGGGAGCATTGTTCTTGCACAGAGATTTTTGAATGATCATTTCGAACAGCGCCACTGAGTGTCATATGTCAGAGCTATTCCAAGCCCCTGTCATTTTGGATCACTCATCCGATATCTTTTACCTGTCCATCAGCTAGAATATACAAATTTACATTGTCTCCCCATTATATGGAGAAATGATAAAGGCTTTTCATCACTGAGACCTGATTCCTGGATGCAACATGTGGCCTTAGTGATGTCTTGGTGCACACAAAGATTAGCATTCATATAGTGTCTTCCATGAGCCCAAATAACTCAAAGCAGTGCTTTTGAAGCATGTTTGTGATGTGTATGTCTGTAAATAGAGTCATAGAGTCGTACAGCATGGAAACAGACGCTTTGGTCCAACTTGTCCATGCTGACCAGATATTCTGAATTAATCTCGTCCCATTTGCCAGCATTTAGCCATATCCATCTAAAACTGTCCTATTCACGTACCCATCCAGATGCCTTTTAAATGTTGTAATTGTACAAACCTCCACCACTTCCTCTGGCAGCTCATTCCATACACGCATCACCCTCTGCATGAAAAAGTTGCCCCTTGGGTCCATTTTAAATCTTTCCCTGCTCTCACCTTAAACTTATGCCCTTTAGTTTTGGACTCCCTTACCCTGGGAAAAAGACCTTGCCTATTCACCCTATCTATTCCCCTCATGATTTTATAAATCTCTATAAGGACACCCCTCAACGTCTGATGCTCCAGGGAAAATAGCCCCAGCCTATTCAGCCTCTCCCTATAGCTTAAACTATCCAAACCCGGCAACATCCTTGTAAATCTTTTCTGAACCCTTTCAAGTTTCACAACATCCTTCCTATAGCAGGGACAGCAGAACTGAACACAGTATTCCAAAAGTGGCCTAACCAATGTCCCGTATAGCTGCAACACAACGTCCCAACTCCTATTCTCAATGTACTGACTAATACATTTTTTTTAAAGTGCATGAAGATTGGCTCTAGTTCTATCCTTCACCACTTGGCTTTCTGGAGTATAACAGCTCAAACTTTGGATCACTAATTGATAGGGGTCTGGGTTTAATCGCACTTTATGTGCTAGACCACTACAGTCAGACGTTGCTGTAGTGAAAAGATCAAGACAGATCCTGATCCTGACTTTCAATTTGCAGAGTTACACAAAATGGAATGTCGTCACTTATTGCAAGGGGAGTGGAATACACAATAAAGGACATTTTCCTTCCAGCTGTACAGGACCTTAACAAAGCCACATCTCGAATACTGTGTACAGTTTTGGTCTCCTTCTTTAAGAAAGGATGTAAATGTGTTAGCAGGAGCTCGGAGAAGGTTGAATAGGCTGAGCCTCTTTCATTAGTTTTTAGAAGAATGAGAGGTGATCATTGGGGTCACATGGTGGCCTGGTGATTAGCAGAGTTGCCTCACAGTGCTCGGGACCCAGGTTCAATTCCAGTCTCAGGTGATTGTCTGTGTGGAGTTTGCACATTCTCTCTGTGTCTGCATGGGTTTCTTCTGGGTGTTCTGGTTTTTCCCACAGCCCAAAGATGTGCAGGTTAGGGTGGATTGGCTGTGTTAAATTGCCCTCTCATGTCCAGGGATATGCAGGCTGGGTGGATTAGCCTTGGGAAATGTGGGGTTACAGGGGAGGGTAGGACTGGGTGGGATGCTCTTCAATGTAGACTTGATGGGCCAAATGGCTTGCTTCCACATTGTTGGGGTTTCTATCTTAATGAGACATATCAGATCCTGAGAGGACTTGGTGGGGGAGGTGCCAAAATGATGGTTTCCGCTTGTGGGACAGACCAGGTTGAGGGGACACAGTTTAAAAAATCAGGAGTTCCCCATTTAAGATGGAGATAAGGAAGATTTTTTTTCCCTCTGAGGGTTGAAAGTTTTTGAAATTCTCTTCCTTAGAGAATGGTAGAAGCAGAGTCATTGAATACTTTCAAGAAAAGGTAAATAGATTCTACATTAATCAGCCAGGTATTTTTCAAGTTAATCACGGGATGTGGGCGTCACTGGCTATGCAGCATTTATTGCCCTTTCCTAATTGCCCAGGGGGCAGTTAAAAGTTGACCAATGGGTCATTGGTTACCAGATGGATAGCAGATGGTTGCCATTGGATAGTCAGAGACTTTTTCCCAGGGCGGAAATGACTATTACGAGGGGGCATAATTTTAAGGTGATTGGAGGAAGGTATAGGGGAGATGTCAGAGTTAGGTTCTTTACACACAGAGAGTGGTGGGCAGGTGGAATGTGCTGCCGGCAGTGGTAGTGGAGTCAGAAACTTTAGAGACCTCTAAGTGACTGTTGGATAGGCACATGGAGGATAGTAAAATGTAGGGTATGCAGGGTAGTTTGATCTTAGTAGGATAATAGGTCGGCACAACATGGTGGGCCGGAGGGCCTGTACTGTTCTATGTTCCATGTTCAGAGCTGTAGGTGGGGAATGTGGAGTTGAAGCCACAATCAGATCAGGCATAATCGTACTGACTGCCAGGGCAGACCAGAGGGACTGAATGGCCTGCTCCTGCTTGGAGTCCTCCTATGTTCGTGGTGTAGGAGGAAAGGTGGAGGACTGGGAATAACTCTCATAAAGAGCTGTCACAAACATGCTGAGCTGAATGGCCACCTTTAACGTTACAACCATTCTATGATGCTGGAAGACTATGTAATGTGGGAGAGGGATGAAGAAGGGACTAAGCCGGATGGTGAGACTTCTGTGGTCAAGTGAGAGAACGGCCCCGTGTGAGACCCCAGCAGCCCAAGAGAGAATGGTGTCTGGAGAGGGGAGGGGAGGAATTGTTTATGTGTCTTTAATTGCAGAGTTTCACTGAACCAGACATTCCAAAAGTACCAGTTACTTCCCACAAAGTGAATCCTCTGCTGTCTATAAAAAGTGCAGAGCTCAGAGGATGGTTTTCAAAGTGTGAGGTAATACATTTTTGGGGAAGGCCAACAAGCAAAGGAAATATGCAATGAACTGGGAGAATACTGAGCAGTGTACAGTAACAGAGGGAGCTCGGAGTGAATGCCCACAGAAGATAGATATAAGATGATTGAGAAAGCATAGGGGAAAATACTTGTCTTTCGTATTGACTATAAGAGCTGGGAGGTTGTGCTGGAACCAACCAAGCGCTTGTAAGTTGGACATTTATTAATTGGGGACCACCCTGTATACCAGTAATTGGTTTTAATGCATAACAAATAGCATTACTTTGATGTGCATGGCTGAAGACTGTCCTTGATTTTGTCTTCTGTTTGAGCAATCTGTAAAGATCCCAAATTCATAATGTGGCATCAAACGATGTGATTAGACGCCAAATCACCTAACCAGCAAAACCAACGTCTATCAATGCTCCCTTTAATGCCTTAGAAACTTTGGGCAAATCAACCCTTAACCTTCTAAATTTTAGGTACCACAACCTTACCTACTTTTTAATCACTCTTCTTTACATCATCCCTCAACACCATTCTGGTCAATCTGTGGCTCAGTGTCAGATTTTTGTCTGGTAATTATTTGTTTTGAAGCACTTGGAACCTTTGCTATATTAAAGGTGCGATGTAAATTTAAATTGTCGTTGGTTGCAAAGCAGCATCCACTCCCCCGAAGGACTTTAGGAGCAGGCCAGATTGACCGCACCTAAACGTTCACTGTGCTCCGAGCAGTCAACGAGCAATGCCACAGGAAATCTACCATTCAGTGAAGAATACTGTGAAACATAAAAGTAAAGACTGCAATCAGGTTTTGTTTTAAATTGCTGAAATACTCATTGTTGTTTTCATGCCAATTCTGTTCCCTGAGGGGTGGGGCGGGTGGGGGTGGGGTGTGGTATTGATGCTGTACTTACTTCTGTGTACCTTTAATTTCATTTATTGTGTCCTCCTTACTGAGTTACACCCTTGTCATACTTAGAGAAAAATTATTAGAGCTTGATTTTTAATATTGTACTTTCAGTTCCCTACTTATCTACTTCTTTTTGTCATTCAGGAACTGAATACTTTTAGAGCCAAGTGCAGCCTTCTCTTTCACTATGACTGGATCAGTATCCCACTGGTGTACACACAGGTAATGGGTTAAATGCTATTGACCATTGCACACTTGGTGAGGAGCTTCTCCTTTGCAACAAATGGCTGAAGCTCCTTATAGAGGAGTGTCCAGCATTTTGACAGCTTTTACCACTGCTGGGTTCATTGACATTAGCCAGGGTAGCAGCAGAGATGCGGGAATCTGCTATAAAAACAGAAATTGCCAGAAAAGCTCAGCAGGTCTGGCAGCATCTGTGGAGAGAAATCAGAGTAAACATTTCAGGTCAAGTGACCCTTCCTCTGAAGGAGTCTACTCATGGCTCATAAACTGATGATAGCTCCTAATCCTCATCTATTGGCTTATGTTGAAAGTGCATGATAACAGATCAGGACATGGAATTCACCAGTATTAAAATCTCTCCACCCCTGGCCTCATCCCATGTCCAACCCTCCCTCTCATCCCCACCTCCTTGACCTGACACAATCTGTCCATCTTTTCTCCCACCTATCTGCTCCTCCCACCTCACTGACCAATCCCCACCACTGCCCACCTGCACTCACCTATCACCATCCCACCTACATTCCCCAGCCCCACCCCTCCTCTCTCTATTTATTTCCCAGCTTCCTTCCCCCTCCCCATTTCTGAAGAAGGGTCCCAACCCGAAACATCAACTTTCCTGCTCCTCTGATGCTGCCTGGCCTGCTGAGTTCCTCCAGCCCCATACTGTGTTGTCTCTGACTCCAGCATCTGCAGTTCTCGCTATCTCCAGGTTTAGGTTTGAATGTGTTGTAGTGATATTGTCCCTAGACCAAAGGTAAAGTCACCATAGTCCAACCAGACCACAGGGCTGCTCTCTCATTAGAGAGAGATGACTACTGGTGGTTTAACCTAAGGGTCACTATGCCTCAAGTGAGGGAAGAGACTGAGAAGGAGAGTCCTTCATGGTGATCTCAGCCAGTGTGGGAATTGAACATACACTGTTGGCATCATTCTGCAACATAAACCAGGCAGCCAGCTGACTGAGCTAAACTAACCCCAGAACATCAACCTGGACCTTTGAGTTACTAGCCTGGAGATATGTTCCTGCAGTGAGGGAATGCTGGCAGTGTGTGAAACTGCAAAGTCTCAACATTCGTAAGAGACAAGATTAGACCAGGACCTGGAGGATTCTTGTGGTGCAGTGGTAGTGTCCCTACCTCTGGGCCAAAGGACCAGGTTCAAATCTCACCCATTCCAGAGGCATGGCTGAGCAGATTGATTAAAGATATCTACAATGTGACCTCTAGTGGTGAGATAGGGTTTTTACATCTGTTGATTTGACTACTTGCCAGACACTGAGGTGTCTGCTCAGCTGTGAGGTGTTGAGCATGGAAGGCATGTTGCTCCCTTTTGGAGGAAGAGATGGCCCAGACAATGAGGCAGTTTTGGAGCAGCATTGACGGTGTTCTGGCACCTGGTTTAGCAACCCCTCAGATGGTCTCCTCAGGACAGAACACTGAGGTAGAAATATTCCAGACTCTTTCCATGCAAACGCTAATCACATGCTCTCCCCCTTCTCTTCTGTCTCTCTCTCTCTCTCTACAGGTTGTTACAATCGCAGTGTACAGTTTCTTCATGACCTGCCTGATTGGACGACAGTTTCTTGACCCTGCCCAGGGTTACGCAGGTCACGACATTGATTTGTACGTTCCTGTATTCACCCTGCTTCAGTTTTTCTTCTACGCTGGCTGGCTGAAGGTAAGATCAGCAACAGGATGGAGGTGCAGGGGCTGTGATTGTCAGTATCTTTTACTGAATCAGAATCCAACTCTCAGAGGAGCAGGAAATCTTGGGCATCACTGAAAACAGGCAAAATTGTTGAAGATTTTCATCTTGCACACATCAGGACACTTTGCAAGAATACCAATTCAAGAGGAAAACCAACACTTACACTGTTTTAGAGGAGAGTCTTGATTGGTTGGCAAGTGGACTCTGACTGGTAGAGACAGTGCCTTTGAGAAAGTATAAATGATTGACAGATGACTATCAGCCTTTATTTCAGTTTTAAACTAGGCAGGTTGACATTGATTGGTGAAGGCATAAGCAGTGAATCAGTGACTATCTGTCACCTATTTTGTTGAGTTGAAATGGGTTCAATGTCTATACACGTCCTTTTCTGTCTGCAAAGATCAGGATCCTGTGCAGTAATATATAGAGGGGTTCAGGTAGATAATTCTTTTGAAAGTTCCGTCACAGGTAGACAAGTGGTTAAGAAGATATTTAGCACGCTTGCCTTCATTGCTCAGACCACTGAGTATAGGAGGTGGGACATCATGTTGATGTCGTACAGGACGTTGGTGAGGTCACTTTTGGAGTACTGTGTCCAGTACTGGTCGCCTTGCTACAGGAAATATATTATTAATTTGGAGACTGTTCAGAAAAGATTTACCAGGATGCTGCCGGGACTGGAGATTTTGAGTTACAAGGAAAGGTTGGATAAGCTGGGACTTTTTTCATGGCGTGTAAGAGACTGAGGGGTGATGTTACAAAGGTTTATAAAATCATGAGGGGCATAGGTGAATGGCAAAGGTCTTTTCCCTAGAGTAGGGGAGTTCAAAACTAAGGAGTATGTTTTTAAAGTGAGAGAGGAAAGATTTAAAAGGGACCTGAGGGGAAATGTTTTCACATAGAGGGTGGATCGTATGTGGAATGAACTGCCAGCACAAGTGGTAGATGCAGGTACAGTTACAACATCTAAAAGACATTTGGACAGGTACATGAAAAGGAAAGGTTTAGAGGGATATGGGCTGACTACAGGCAAGTGGGACTAGTTTAGATTAGGAAACTTGGTCGGCATGGATGAGTTGGACCGAAGGGTCTGTTTCCATGCTGTATGACTCTAAATGTGCCACACTGCAGACAGTGGATCATCATTAATTGGTGCTTTCTCCGTGGCAACATCTCTACCAGTATGAGTGCAAAATGAAAAGCGTTGATTAAAATATATCCTGTCCTAACAATGTTCATGTTCCAGATCTCTCCCTGCACACTTAGTGTCTAAGACTGAAATATTCACATTGTCCTATATTGTCATAGCTCACTCAATAGAATCTCTGGAGTTCACTCCTCTAGAGTGCGATGGATGCTGGAACACTGAATAAATTTAAGGGGGAGTTGGACAGGTTTTTAATTAGTAATGGGTATGAATGGGTAGGAAAATGGAGTTGAGGCTGAGGTGAGATTAGCCTTGATGGTATTGAATAGCAGAGCAGGCTCGAGGGGCTGAATGGCCTATTCCTGCTCCTAGTCCTTATGTTCTTATAAAGATAGGGAAGTCTTGCTAAAACTATACAAGACACTAATCAGACCACACCTGAACAGTGTTGGTGAAGAGTTTTGGCCCTCCTATCTGAAGAAAAATAAATTGGCATTGGAGGCTGTCCAAAGAAGGTTCACTAGGTTAATCCTGGGTATAGAGGGATTTTATTTTTAATGAAGAGAGATTGAGTTGGTTGGGCCTGTATGCAATGCAATTTAGAGGAGACCGTTTTGAAAATGTAGGATTCTTAGGGGGTTTGATAGAGTAGATGCAGAAAGGGTATTGCCCTGAATGGGGCACTCTCTCAGAGTAAGGGGTGGACTGTTCGTGGTGAAGATGTGGAGATATTCCTTCACTCAGAGGGTGGTGTATCTTTGTAATTCTTTGCCCCAGAGTGGAGGCTCAGTCAAGCCACAGATTGATAGATTTCTGCATATTAAAGGCAACACGGGGTTTGGAGATAGAGCAGGGAAAATGGCGTTGAGGTAAAAGATCAGCCATGATCTAGAATGGTGCAGCAGGCTCACTCAAGGGGCTGAATGGCCTGCTTTTACATACCTCTTCACCTTGTCACTCATCACACTGTCCCCTTAGCCCTTAAAACATTTTCTCTCAATGCCTCAAAACTGAGGCACTCAGTCTCTCTTTCCTGCTATCTGCACCAATCCCTTGAAACAAGGATGATGCCTGCTTAGCTTCACAAGTAGTGTGCCCCCTGGGCTTTGGGCAGAGAGGACGAGTGTTGTCCTGAGGGAGTGTGGTTCTCAAGCCAGGGTTCTGCTTTCTGCTTTCTCCCCTTCTGCGTTCTGTGCTTCCCTGCAGCAGAGTTGAAGCAGTTAGTTTCCAACTGTGTTGTTGCCTGTTGATGAGGCGCTACATATGGCATGTTCCTCCTTGCCACCGATGTCAGCTTTCACTGAGGCCATCAGAGTATCTTTAAAAAGTTTCCCCCATTGCCAACTCTCTTCATTTGCTACTTTAGCCCGGTCATTTGCGACCGGGGTCATGACTGAGTGCCACCTTGATAGGAAATTTTACAACAGCAACAGACTGGGCACCAAAATGAGCCGACCCTTCAGCACAATCCACAATTTACAATCAATTACTGCTCGGTTGTGGCCTTGAATCTCTTCAATTCCGTGTAGAAGGGGGTTCATCTCTCACTAACATCAGACAGAGCAAAATCATCCACTGTTCCTTCTTCAGAAAAGTACTACCCCTCCAGCTATTATTATTATTATTATTATTATTATTATTATTATCATTATCATCATCATCATCATCGTCAACGACAGAGTAACTTTAAAAGGCATTGGAGATTTCCCACATCTTACCGACTATTGTCTGTGTGTCACCTAATGGTTAATCCAGAATGGACCTGGCTGGCCCTTTCCGCTTACTGTGACGTTGGTATCTTGGGATTTAGGAATCTGGCTCTTTCATCCAGATTTGCCCACTCAGGAACCCATTGTGTGAAAGTACACAAATTGCACACTGCAGCACGCTTTGCAATTACGTCCCATTGTGCTTCTTGAGGTTGGCTCAATGAATGCCAAGATAAGAGCCTTCTGTAAGGTTGACATAGGTGTGTCTGATTACAGGTAGCAGAACAACTAATAAATCCCTTTGGAGAAGACGACGATGACTTTGAAACAAATCGTTTGATTGATCGGAACTTTCAGGTAATGACTGCGGCACATGGAGCATCTTTGGATGGCACAGGGGCGGAGGGGATAGTACCTCAGCTGCCTTCACTTGTGAAGGGCCTCGACAAGATTTCAGAACATATGTACTGAGCACTTTCTATTACTGTTAGAGCCTGTATGTTGTTGAGAGTTTCTATGGTTGATTCATGATCTATGCCAAACTCAGCTCAGATGGAACAGGAAGGTTCAAATCGGACTTGTAGGTTTGGACTCGGAAAGTTCAAGACACAGTGTTCCAAGTCTGGATTGTGAGCTAATGTGGCAACAGATTCTGTTTTGGATTCTCTCAGTCAACTGGTCTATTAACCTGCTAAAAGATGAATGGATGGCATGGTGGTAATGTTACTGCTCTTGCGATCCAGAATCCCAGGCTGGGCACCTGGGTTAAAATCCTACCATAGCAGATGGTGAAAATCAAATTTAATATAAACAAAGAGGTAGCCTAATGGTGACTGTGATGTGAAAACCCATCTGGTTCACTACTGCCTTCTCGAGAAGGAAATCCTTACCTCCAGACCCACGATAACGTGACTGCCTCTTTCATTCCTGATAGATGATGAACGGTTAGCCATTGGCCAAGTCAAGCTAGTTACACCCGCATCGCATGAACAAAAATCAAACAGCCTATCTTGCATTGTGATTGACCACTTTTTGTAAGGTACTGAACGTTTACCATGGAGCAGTACATCAGCATGAGTTCACACAGTCAGAAGACGAGGCAAGAAACCTGGAGGGATGGCAGCAATGGGGTGGTGGGGCGGGGGTGGGGGGGGGGGGGGGTGAAAAGCAAAATCACTTTTGACTGTATCGCCTCTTGCCCCCTCCATCCCAACCCACCCCTCCTTCCCAAAGTCTCTCCTAAGCATTCCTTGACTGAGTTACTCTTGTTGAGTTGGCTGTCCCTTTTTTGCAGGGTTGCATTGACTGTAGTTGTGACTGTTGCATTCAGGTGTCAATGATGGCGGTCGATGACATGTATCAGGATTTGCCCCTAATGGAAAAGGATCGATATTGGAACGAGTCCAACCCTCGCCCCCCATACACTGCTGCCACCGTGTTTGTGCTGCAGAAACCGTCCTTTCAGGGATCCACCTTCGACATGACGTGAGTTGCTATCACTTTTACAACATTGCATGCACGACTAGGCAGGGCAATGCGGTGTGGTGGAAGGACGGCCAAACTAGGTTCCTCAGTGTGTTCTCTTAAATCCAGCTGTTGCTCCATTTGTGAAAGCAAACACAGCAGTGCAAAATGGATAACACACAGCAAGGCCTTGTATTTAAATAGATCCTTTCGTGACCTCGGTCTTTCCCAAAGTGCTTACCATCCATGAGGTGTGCTTGTTGTTGTTTAGGGAATGCACCTTCCCATTTGTGTTTCCTTTTCCTGTGTCAAATGACACCCCTGCCTTGTCTTCTGAAGTTAGAACAGTCTTTAAAATCTATGGTTAGTCCCCATAGTGGGGCAGCTTTAATATCAGAGGCTGAGAGCTGAAATTTAATGCCCTTTTCTACGATTGAGGTGAAAGAGGTCACACTGGTACAGTATGGACTTGTTGAAGATACATGACCAGGGATAAATAAAGGGAGCTTTGACTCTGTATTTGGCCCGTACTGCTTGTCGACAGCCTGTGTTTTGAAAGGAACTATGTAAATGTGAACTTTTTCCAAAAACAAAGGGTTAGATTGGATTTAACTACATCAGTGAATTCATCTCCCTGTCATGAATAAGGGCATGTTCCTCAACAATGTCTCTTCTTTTTGTAAAAACCGAGCTCTAAAAATTCGGACACTTGCAAAAATCATTTTGTATTATGACTTGATGCTCTTCAATTCGATAAAGGTGAAAGCACCTCGTCATCTGTACAAATGATGACCTTCCAGCAGACTGCTGTGTGACTAGTGTATTAAGTAGTTGACACTGTTAATGTTCCAGTTCATTAGGAAGCTCCCTTCAAGTTGTTTTCTCAAAAGTTCTGGGGGTTGGGGGGGGGAGGGGAAGTACTGAATTGATTCAGTGCAAGTTGTACTTGTGCTATCGAGGTCCCCAAACCAAGGGCTCACGTTTCTGCTCAGTTAGGCATTGGGACGCTCAGAGTTCTGCAGTCACCATCACACCCTGTCAATCAAAAAGTGCCTGTGGGATCTTGCTTTGTAGCCATCCGCTGTTATTTAGAGAAAAACAAGCTGTTCACGGGATGTGGGCATTGCTGCCCTCAAGAAGATGGTGGTGAGCTGCCATTTTGAACCGCTGCAGTCCTCGTGGTGTAGGGAAGGGAGGTCAGAACTTTAACACAGTGACAGTGAAGGAACGGCAATATTGCTCCAAGTCAGGACAGTATGCGGCTTGGAGGGGAAACGGTTTTCCCATGTGGCTACTGCCTTTGACCTTCTAGCTGGTAGAAGCCCTGGGTTTGGGCAGTGGTGTAGAGGGAAGGTTGAGGCAGTTCTGTGCGAGAGGACTACTCATCGAAGTTGAAGCATTTCAACATGCTATGGGTGTGGGGGAGGGGGAGGGGGAGCAGGGAGAAAGGGCATTGATCTCTTTTAGTTGGACACTGAACCTGCACTCTCCTTTTTTTTTGAAAAAAATAATTTTTAGGATTTCGAAAGACGACATGCACTTTCAGCCGATAGAAGAGATCGAGGAGAATCTGGAACAGGGCAATCGGCACCACGTACCACTCTTCAGCCGTCTCTTACCCACTGGCCCCTCGCCACCCAGTTTCCGTAGCAACATTGCCCGCAATGCCCGGCCCTTCCAGTTGCTGAAGCGGGGGAACAGCGTCTCCTCGGATGCTTCCATGTACAGCTGCTTGTGCCAGGACACCCAGACCACTGCGTGCTCCTGTGGCACTTACAACGACCACAAGTCCCTGACCAAGATCCAGTTCCTCTCGGAGAACGACAGCGAGCCGGAAAGGAAAGGGACCGAGGCCGAGATGAGCAGTTTGAACCTCGGCGAGAAGGCTCTGCCTCCGGCCGTCCAAGATTTCGGAACTGGGGACTTGAGCGGCAGGAACAATGGGCTTCTAGATGCCCCCATTAAAGCTGCTGACCCCTCCACAGAAGCTGAACGTCACGGTCCGCTGTCTATCTCCCCCGTCAGTAACTCCAGAGAGAAATTTCCACACGGAGGGGATTTGATATTTTCATATGATCCACAGTTCGAGTCCTACGAAGACCACGACTGCAAAGTCCAGAGCCCTTTAGTGACTCAGCCTGTGCAGAAGCCCCCCGATCACAATCAGCCAGCAGCAGAAAAGATTCCAGTGGCAGAAAAAGGCACAGGCTCAGCTCTCCCACCCTGCAACAACAACAACAACACTCCACCTTCAGTGGGGCCCAGCTTCATGGAGACCGGTGCCTACCGGGGACCGTACGGTCTTCAGCATCCAGGGGTGGGGGTGAAGACTGAGGCTCCTCTACTCCCTCTTTCTCCTGCTGAGGAGGAACCCGGAGAGAAGTCCGATTGGCCCAGAATGACCAAACGGTCTCTACGGGCAGACGGTGTGGAGGATGAGAGCGTGCCCTTGCACATCTCTGAGCCACCGCGCGTCAATGGCAGGGAGTCCTTCCTTTCGAAAACCACATCTCAGCTGTGAAGAAGGAAGGCACGGCCAGATTTAGACTGAACTTTTGTTTAAAAAAAGAAGAAACTGTGAAGAAAAACCTACTACTTTTTTTTTTAAAAATCTTCCTCTAACTGGAGTCAAATTCAGCACCTTGTGAGAGCAGACTTTCCCCACCTTGTACATCACTGATTCAAGTCATGGGTTGCGTTTCTGTGAAGCTTGAAAGAACAAGTCAGAATTCTTGGGGCTCTAATGACCGAATTTAGGATGTCCACTGTTATGATGAAAAGGCCTTGTGAACGTACAACATCAAACTCCTGTTCCATCTGCCAAAACCCAAGGAACAGCTGAAAGGTCTTTTGCTTTACAATTGCTGTTCATCATTTGTTTGTGGTGCTGAACATTTCCCTCTGCCCCCATCCACACCCCAACTAAATTACTTACTGATGACTTGTCTCCTTAATGTCAAATCCCAACATGCATTTTTGTGTCTGCCAATATTTCCAATATCCATCTCGGATTATACTTTGAGCATTAAGGTCTGCACTGAATCATAAGTTTGAGCATTGGCAGTGACTGATGAATAAAGATACACCTTTACGATGAATAAGAACAAGAAAGAAATGCAAAGTGAAAAGCAGGGATTGTGGCTTGGCTTTCGATTGAAAATCTTCACTGACTGACTCCTTCTGAGATGACCACACCTGCCTGTGCATAAGATTTTATGCTTTGTTTCTCGTGAGGTGTATTTCCCTTTGTTCGATTTTGTAAAGCTGACACAAGTCATTGAACTCTGGGCATTGGATGTCTTGCTGCATTCATGAAGCATCCACTTGTGAACAATGGGAATTCACTGGAGAAGTTTAATAACACCAATAATTGCAGAGAAGAGTGACAATTTGCATAGATTTTGAGAAAAGATTCTTGATTGTTTGGGGGAAGAGAGTTGGAGTTGTGGGAGGGTACTGTGTAAGTTTAAGGAAAGAATGGACTTTGGAACAATTTGTTAGGGGAGGAAGGAGGATTTGACATTGCTGTCACACTGCATGAGCTTTTTGGATCATACACCATAGGGTCACCCTTCCTCCAATGTATTACACATAGCTGAGCCACATCATCACATGCATCAGTCATGTTCAATGTGTTTAAGGATTCGAGATCAATAAACACACACTACAACAGGACAGGTTACACCAATAAGGTTACATGAGGAGGAGTAGGAGGAAGCTCCTTGGCAGCATGAACCATTTAAACACATAATTCAAGAGCCAGAAGAGACCATTCGGCCCAAGAAGCCTGCTCAATTGTTCAACACCAGCACTGGGATTAATGCCACTTTTCTGCCGCTTCCCTAAGATCCACTGGAATTCCCTAAGATCTCAAAACCTTGCATCTCCCAACCTTAAATAAATGTTGGCCTGGATAGTGACCTACATCGTGTGAATGAATAAAAAAGAAAATTTGGACAATGGTCAGTGCAGTTTTTTTGGGGGTGTTCAAGGATCTTTTCTCCTGCTTTGAAAAATCGTGAAATGGCTGAAAGCATTGCCCTAGCAGCTGTGATTTGTCACAAGAAATGCAAAATAACTAGCTGATGAATTTGGAATTGTGTATTTGTTAAATTGCTCACTTAGAACACTTTTAGTAGACTTCTTGGTTATTTTAAAAGGCTTTGTTAGAACCCTTCCATTATCTGTTATGCAGAGGACATGAAGGGTGAGTTAGGGAGAGGGATTTTGTTTATCAAAGAAAATTAGATTCATACAGCACGGAAACAGACCCTTTAGTCCATGCCGACCATATTTCCAAACTTAACTAGTGCCACCTGTCTACCTTTGGCTCATTTCCCTCCAAACATTTCTTATTCATGTACTTATCTAAATGTCGTTTACACGTTATAACTGTACCTACATCCACCACTTCTGCTGGAAGGTCATTCCACACATGAACCACCCTGTGCAAAACAAATTGCCCTTCATATCATTTTTAAATCTTTGTCCTCACATCTTAGAATATGCCCTCTAGTCTTGAGATCCCCCAGCCTAGGAAAAAGACCTTTGCAATTCATCACATTCCATGCCCCTCATGATTTTATAAACCTCTATAAAAGGTCACCCCTCAGCCTCCTACACTCCAGTGAAAAGAAGTCCCAACTTGTCCAGCTTCTCCCCATTCCCAGTAACATCCTGGTAAATCTCGTCTGAACCCTCTCCAGCTTAAGAATATCCTTCGTATAACTCAACGACCAGAATTGGACACAATACTCCAGAAGAGGCTTTACCAACGATCCATACAACCTCAACATAATGTCCCAACTCCTATATTCAACAGCCGGATTAATGAAGGCAAGAGTGCTAAATGCCTTCTTAACTACCTGAATCTATATGCGATGCAAACTTCAAAGGTGCCATGGATGGTTCACTTGCCAAGCTGGCCCTTTAGCTCGCAGACGTTTCATTACCCTGCTGGGTAACATCATCAATGCAGCCTCCGATGAAGCGCTGTTGTGTTTTCCCGCCTGGTATTTAAACTCTGGGGTCCGTTGGATTGGATTACCTCACTTCTGGTTTTCCTTCGCAGTGGTGTATAGTTCTACGTGTTTGTTGATGGCTTTCTTGGTGGAGAATCGGGCCTCTAGGAATTCCCGTGCTTGTCTCTGGCCTGTCCTAGGATCCTGGTGTTGTCCCAGTTGAACTGGTGGTTCTCCTTATCAGTGTGAATAGAGATGAGTGAGTATTGGTCGTGTCTTTTTGTTGCTAGTAGGCGTTCATGTACTCTTGTGGCCAATTTTCTTCTAGTCTGTCCAATGTAATGTTTGTTGCAGTCCTTGCATGGAATTTTGTATATTACGATCCAACAATGCCTATCACACGAACAACAACAGGAAAATACCGCACGCCCTAACACACTCATCACGACAAAATGAACACCAACTAGCAACAAAAAAAAGACCAATGCTCACTCATCTCCATTCACACAGATAAGGAGAATCACCAATTCAAGTGGGACAACATCAGGATCCTAGGTCAGGCCAAACAGAGACAAGCATGGGAATTCCTAGAGGCCTGATTCTCCACCAAGAAGGCCATCAACAAACACACAAAACTAGACCCTATATATACACAACTGCAAGGGAAAACCCAACAGTGCTTCATCAGAGGCTGCACTGATGATGTTACCCAGCAGGGTAATGAAATGTCTGCGAACTAATGGATCAGCTCAGCGAGCGAACCAACCAAAGCATCCACAACCCGAGCTACAAATCTACTCAAGAACCTCAGAAACTTCAAAGAATTATGTACCTGAACACCGAGGTAAGACCATAAGACATAGGAGCAGAAATTAGGCCATTTGGCCCATTGAGTCTGCTCCACCATTCAATCATGGCTGATAAGTTCCCTTAACCCCATTCTCCTGCTTTCTCCCCGTAACCCTTGATAATCAAGAACCTATCTATCTCAGTCTTAAATGTACTCAATGACCTGGCCTCCACAGCCTTCTGTGGCAGTGAATTCCATAGATTCACCAGAAGTTTCTCCTTATCTCCGTTCTAAAAGGTTTTCCCTTTACTCTAAAGGCTGTGCCCTCGGATCCTAGACTCTCCTACCAATGGAAGCATCTTCCCAACATCCATTTTGTCCAGGCCATTCAGTATTCTGAAAGTTTCAATTAGATCCCCTCTCATCCTTCTAAACTCCAATGAGTATAGTCCCACAGTCCTCAAACAGAGGTCTCTCTGTTCTACAATGATACCCAAGGCCTTACTTTTAATTATATCAGTACTGCCCTTATTTGTTTTACCAAAATGCAATACCCCTCATTTATCCAAATTAAACTCCATCTGCCACTCTTCAGCCCATTGACCTAGGTCTCTTTGCAGTCTTAGATAGCCTTCTTCACTGTCCACTATACCACCAATCTTGTGCCACCTGCAACCTTATTATCCATTGCCTTCTATATTCTCATTTAAATCATTTATATAAATGACAAACAAAAGTGGATGCAGCACCGATCCCTGTGGAACACCACTGGTCACAGGCCTCTAGTCTGAAAAACAACCCTGCACCATCACACTCTGTCTCCTGCCATAAAACCAATTTTGTGTCCAATTGGCAAGCTCATCCTGAATCCCCATGTGATCTAACTTTAGTAATTAATTTACCATGCGGAACCTTGTCAAAGACTTTACTGAAGTCCAAGTAAACAATGTCTACCACTCTGCACTCAATCTTCTTGGCCACTTCCTCAAAAAAATGCAATCAAGTTTATTAAACACTATTTCACTCACACAAAACCACGTTGACTATCCCTAATCACTCCTTGCTTCTTCAAATGCATATAAATTCTATCTTTCAGAATCACTTTCAACAACTTACCTCCACTGAAGTCAGAAGTCTATAGTTCCAAGGCTTCTCCTTACATCCCTTCTTAAGCAAAGGCACATCATTAGCCACTGTCCAGTCATTTGGCGCCTCACCTTTATTTATAGATGATGCAAATATTTGTGCAAGGGGCCCCGTAATTTCATACCCAATTTCCCACAAAGTCCTGGGACATACTTGATCAGGTTCTAGAGATTTATCCATCAGCAGTACATCTTCTGTAATGTGAACTGTTTTCAAAACATCAATATTTATTTCCCTGAGTTCTCTAGCCACCATTTCTTTCTCCGCAATAAAAACTGATGCTAAATATTCATTGAATATCTCCTGAGGTTCAACACAAAGACAACCTCTTTGATTTTAAGGGGCTATACTCTCTCTCTAGTTGCTTTCTTGCTCTTAATGTACTTGTAGAATCTTTTTGGATTATCCTTAGCCTTGGCAAATGAGGTTCTCTCATATCCTCTCTTTGCCTTGATGATCTCCCTCTTATGAATGCCCCCACAATCTCTATACTGTTCAAGAGATTCATTTGAATCCAGTTATCTAATAAATTATCTTCTTTTTTTTATTCTTGACTAGAACCTCAATATCTTGATTTTGTCTTTTACTTTAACAGGAACATAATGACTTTGAACTCTCGTTATCACACTTCTGAAAGCCTCTCACTTATCAGACATCCCTTTACTTGTGAACAGTCTACTCCAATCAATTTTTGAACGTTCTTGTCTCATACCATTAAAATTTGCCTTACTTCAATTAAAAACTTTAATTTTAATGGAAGTCTTGTCCTTTTCATAATTCTGTTTGTTTTAAAAAGTTACGATCACCAGATCCAAAGTATGTCCCTATCACTTCAGTCACTTGCCCTGCCTTATTACCCAAGAGAAGGTCAAGTTTTTCACCTTCTCTATTAGGAACATCTACATATTGATAAAGAAAATTTTCTTGAACACATTTAACAATTGAACAGAACGGTTGCTAGGATGAATTTCAAGACTATATGAGTATCAAAACCCCATAACCACTACCCGCCTAGAAGAACAAGAGAGGCAGTCTCAAGGAGAAACCACCAATTCAAAGTCGTGTTTCATCCTTACTTGGGAATACACTGCTGTTCCTTCAGCGTCACTAGGTCCAAGGCCTACTCAATACCACTGTGGACATACCTTCACCACGAGGACTACAGGGGTTTAACCTCCTTAATTGCACAAACCATTTACAATGCAGAATGGGCCATGGGATTCCAAGCCAAGAGCTTAAAAAAAAATCATTTTGAAACTTTAGAACTTAACCTCTGTTACTCCCAAGTAAAGCAGAGTGGCAAAATCAACCTGAATCTAGCAACCTAGATAAGGCTATGAAGGAACACGATGCAAGAGATGATTTTAGGATTTAGAAAAGATGGAGGGGTGGGTGGATTTTCGATGAGTTCACTCTAACATTTTCCCTTACACCTGTCCCTGGAAAACCAATGCTGATCATTTGTAGCTAAACAGATAGCTGTGGCATTGGACAGCAAATGAATCAACAGCACCAATTTCCTTCCACATCCATTCTTGAAATCCATCTGTGTTTGGAGACTTTGGATATTGTCTACCCAGTCTGATCCCCTCCCTCATTTCAACTCTTTCCAGTAACACATTACTCTGGCATTTTCTTTGTGACGTGCGGAAAGAAACATTGGGCTTGATTGTCCAGATTGGAGGTGTATATTATTGTAAAACCTAGCATTAGAAAGGGCATTCATCCAGGACACAGAGCACACCCTTCAAATGGGGGAAGATAAATTTGGAACTTAAACATTTGTACAATAGACTTCTGTACCTTAGATGATATTTATAATTTTTTTTCCAATTTTCTATTAAATGGGTCTTTTTAAAAAATATTTAACAAATTCATTTTTGGGGAAGTGAGAGCTTTTGCATGTATAAATGATATGGATGGATCTTTCAAAAAGGCGATTGAATACTATATCACTGGAAATGTAATGTCACCGGAATGTCTAAGTTGTTCGATCACCTATTGCTTGTGCTTAACTTATCAATAGTGCTCTTGAAATTATAATAAAAGTTGATTATGTTGCTTGGCTGTCCTCGAACAATTTGATTCCAGATCTTATAGCCTGATTAAGTCTGGCAAATATGGGGAAGGGATGTACTGTTACCAAAAGGAAACAGATCTCTGCCCCCACCATCAACACCTCAAGGTGTTTGGAGGTGGCTCTGAAATGGATCAATTTCCTTTCAGATTGCTTGGCTCCTTCTCTTTTTTAAAAAATGACCCTATAGAAAACAACAAGTTCACTGAACTTATGGATGTTAATGAATCAAAATATCCCAATCCTGTCATATCTCTACCCCTTCCCATCTCTGCAATCTAACCGATATGACTTCAGCAACAATGTGGACTACACACAGTACAATAATAATTACACAGCACTCTGATTGAAGTGTTTAAAAAAAATGCAAGCAACTACATATAAATAAAGGACACAAACTTTATTTAAATTAACAAAATGTAGGACAAATTATAGAATCTAGACTCCATAATACCTTTCTATGCTGTGTTGAGTACAGCTACACATTCCATTCAATTTAAATATACACTGAAGTATTTTCTTCAGGAAGAATTCAGTTTATCTAATGATTTCTGACCACTTTCACAGGCCTACTCCCAAAGTGCTGAAGATCAATCATCACATCAGCAAGAAAATCATAAAATTTAATTAGCCATAAACTGAGTAAAATTCAGCTGTCCTAAATTATCCAGAAACAGAGAAAACAAAACCTAAAACTGTGTTGAGATTTTCCAGCAATAGGAAACAGAGAACACTGCATCAATCGCAGGGGATCCATGTCCCACTACCTTCATTGGGATGGACAAAATAAACCCTTCCACTTCAACGCAAGCTTGAGCTTGCTTGCCACCATTCAAATTAAATCAGAATCAATTAGCTACCAGTTAATAAAGTGCAAGTACCTTGGGTATAAATCGTGCCAGTAATGTTCCAAAATGCAGCAGCCTAGTATTGTCAGTCCAATCTACAACTACTTCTGTATCATAACTAAATAGGATTCAGGACACTTGTCCCAAAGTACACCCCGATTTGAAGGACAGCTCTTAAAAAAAATAATGCAAGAACTTATTGTCAGACTAGTATTAGTGTTATCACAGAGGGAGGATCACATAGGCTAACCTCCACTTGCAAACAGTACCTCCATAGCTTCTGGTCAACTTTGATTTGCCTTGATTTAAAACTGAAACAATCTGTTTGAGCAGGGAGAGCTGAAGGGAACGGGGATAAAGGGGAGGTATGGTGGTAAAAGAAAGGGAGAGAAAACTAAAAGCGACTAAGAACAGTCACACAAAGGAAATAAAAGAACTCAGCTTAGAGAGCAAATCATTACCCAAACCCTGGGTAATGGATGGATCTGCACTCCATCAGATTCTTTTGCATGGTCAGCCTCGTATCCCTTTAGTAGTTCTCCCCAAAAAGAGATCATTGACATTTGGTATAGTTATACGAACAGGTCCTAATGTCAAACCAAAAACTTGCAATTAATTTTTAAAATGCTAAGAAAGAGAAGATGGCAACATATTTTAAAAAAAAGTTCCTACCAGATAACTTAAAAACCTCAAGGGAGAAAATAAATATGAGATAACCATTTGGCAAGGACAGTTGTTCCTTGTTTTTTTTGGGCTGTAGTGGTGTTGAGGTACTGTAATTGCTCTTGAAGCCCGCAGGGCAGGATCAGCAGGTTATCTCGTCACGGATTGGTGCAGCCGGTTCGGATGTACCCGACGTGCATTAGTCGCCTGTCTCTGCTGGGCCAGGAACGACTGTGCTTGACCGTGGCCCCGAGACCTTTCCTCTGTTACCTTTTGGTGAAGAGCCATGCCCTGGGAGAGCAAAGCAGAGGTAAGGCAAATCCAAAACTTTCAACGCAGAGAAGTCAACAAATTCTGATAACTACAAACAAAAGAAGACAGCTTCCGATAACACTTCCATTCGTTACCATGAACTTACTGGAGCCTAGTGACCCCTGCACTAGAGCTCAGAGACCCCAAACTGAAAATCCAAGGGTTAATTAATCTAGTTTTAAGGATTAGCCTTGATGCAGTTGTCAGTGAGAAAACAGTATATTTTCAGCCCCTATTACAGATTTGAAGGTTTAACTTAGAGCACTGACCTCAATTGAAGTGGTGGCCTAAGTGTCAAAATTGCTGTCTTTCAGATGAGGTATTAAATGGAGATTCTCAGGTAGGCAAGAAATGGCAACTGTACAAAGTACAGTAGGATAGTTCTCTGAGTGTTTGGGCTCCCAATTAAGCGATGACTGTGATTAAAATTCTCATCCTTGGACTCCAAAGTTCAGGGATTCCCTCCCTACAGCTCTGCCACTTTTTTCTCCTTTTAAGATGTTCTTTAGAAATCTACCTCTCTCACTGAACCTCTAAGCACCTGTCCTAGTAATTCATGTGGCTCAGCGTTAATTTTTGTTCGATAATGCACCCAAGCATTGGAATGGTCTTGGGTAGAACAACTCAAATCTGGCATCGAGACTGAGGCCGTACTGAATTTTTAGATGTTAACGGATTTTGGGTTGTAGGCAGTTCTGGTGAAGCCATGTAGACCCAGAAAATAGCACAGTCTTACTGCTCTAAAAACGCTGCTCCAGGCTAACTTAGTACCAATGCTTTTATATTTTTAAAGTTTAATCAAGAGACAGATCTCAATAACAACATATAAATCAGAAAAAAACCCACGCTACTCACCATTGTAGATTTACAAAAGAAAACCAGTAAGGTTACATTTTAAAAAGCTATTTAGTTGGTCCCCTGCCGTGAGCTCCCACACACAGGTTTCTCCAAGGTCAGCTGTGAATTTTGCTTTTGTTTATCTTTCTTAGAACAAACTCTGATGTCTAGAGATATTTGAAAACAGACAGCAAAGGCAGTAGCTGTGCAGGTTACTGTTGGGTCAGACAGCAGTGTAGGTTTCTTTCTCTGTTTGAATCACTGCCCATGTGGTCTTTGCCTTTGACTGTCTTCCTCATTTGTAAAGTGCCTTTGTTTTGACTTTCTTTTCCCAAGTTCCAAAACAATGCAGCAACTTATAAAACAGTCTGGAGGCAAACTGTGCCAATGCAGCACCTAATAAAATTGCTCAAGTAAAATGTTTCTTTTCAGTTTTACTCAATTAACATTGATGCACGAATGAAGAGGATATTCTGTTTGGTTGGTGGGGGTGGGACAGAGGGGAAGAGTTTATGCTGTCAATATGGAAACAAAATGGCCACACACCCTACTGCAAGTGTAGAGGTATCGTCAACATGGGCTGAATATCCTTTTCCTTATTAAACTTACTACTAAAGGCACTTCATAAGTATTTAATTAGTTGTGAGGCACCTTAGAATGTGTGAATGTGTGAAAAGACAGCAAGAAAATTCATTGGAATGGAGCTGGGCCTTATGGTGTATGACCAGCGTTTGAAATTCTTCTTTCATTTCCTTACCAGATGAGAACTTTGTCTAAACTGGATGGTTAAAATGACATCATAGAATCCCTGCAGCATGGAAACAGGCCATTCGGCCCAACAGGTCCACACCAACCCTCCGAAGAGCATCCCACCGAAACCCATCCCCCTACATTTCCCATGGCCAACACACCTAACCTGCATGTCCCTGGGCCCTAGGGGACATTTTAGCATGGCCAATCCAATTAACCTGCACATTTTTGGACTGTGGGAGGAAATCCACACAGACATGGGGAGGAATGGGTAAACTCCACACAGACAATTGCCCAAGGCTGGAATTGAACCCAGGACCCTGGTGCTGCGAAGCAGCAGTGCTAACCACTGAGACACGGTGCTACCCCACTAAACACTGCACCACACGAACGATCCTTAAAAGCTATCTCAGTCTCAATACTGAAGTTATTTTTAAGAGTAACTGCTTGACAAATTTAATCTCAGAGATGTACCATCACCACCACCTAGTGGCACATTGGAGTGATGCATGGGGTCTAGAAACCAGAGATTGAATTTAAATTTCAGCTGGGACGTCAGGTTTTATAGTCTGCAGAGAGCTGGGGATAAGAAATTTATTTTATCTGGTCTACCTGGCATGTTGCACGCTTAAAGTGTTGAAAATAATGCTTTATTAATTCCCTTTCATTTCTATTTTTGTTTCCTATAGATCTGCCAGGATACTCTTCAAATTCAACTGCAATGGTTAGGAGCTCAGTGTATAAGTGAATGGCATATTAAAGAAAACACTTGCTGTGATTTTACAGATTTAAAGGGGAGAAAAAAAAAATAAATTGGGCATGGGTTCTAGTAAATTTCTAGAGACTTACCATATTGTACCAGGCACTGATGATCAATTTCTCTTCTTGGTCTCTTTGGGACTTGTTTTTTTCGAAGTCATTCTAACAAGAAACAGGAAGTAATTTTTTTTAAAAAAAAGGCTCATTTAAACAAAGAGAGCCAGCCAGAATAAGAACAGTGCCCTCGAGCTCTTCCTGAGAGCATAATGCATTATCAAACAGAGCATCATGTGTTCATGCAATTGTTAGGGGCATATTAGACGTCAGATACAGCCAATATGGTATATTTCATTTTCTTCTTATTTGTTCAAGGGATTTGGGCATTACCAATTAGGCCAGTTTTTATTGCCCACCCGTAATTAGCCTAATTGAATAGGTATTCAATTAGGCGAATGGCCTGCTCATGCTCATCTTTTATTTTTCTTGCGCAGAACATCCGCTCGGGTCCTGGGTCACTAATCCAGCGACATTACCACTTATGGCATAGAACAGATAAAAGGGAAGGGTAACATTAACACCAACAATGTAACTTGAGCCACTCCAAGTTATTCACTTAATAAAACAATATCTGCCTAGTTACAAAATGTTCTACATTAAAGATGCAACCTTGGTACTCAGGCACTTTACAGACCTAATGAATCAAACATTAATCTCTAAACCTTGAAAAAAGCATTTTCGAATGGAGACACAACAGCCCTGAATAGTCCAGCTGTTTAAGAGAACAAGCAGTTGCTTGATTGACAAGGATGATTCTGTGTAAGGTCCCCAACTTGGGTCCCATCAACTGGTGTAGCTAGTGAGTGGCCCGGAATAGGTCAGTGTACAATTTGAACTCCAATGCCATTGTGCAAGTGATTTTCTGCTAGGCTTCTTGTTTGATATTCAGTCAGAATGGGAGTGCGAGCCTGTCCAGGATGAGCTATACCTCACACAGCAGTAGAACAGCCAATGAAAATCCACTGGGTTCTATAGTGGATGCTGGCCGCATGTGGAACTAAATCACCAAGATTCAGACCATGCCCTTAGCACAGCAGGATTTAAAACCAAAAATTCTTTCACAGATGTGGGCATCGCTGGCAAGGCCAGCATCTGTTGCCCATCCCAAACTGCCCTTGAACTGAATGGCAGCCAAGATTCAAACACATGCCTGTGGGCCTGGAGTCACAACAATGCCAGAGAAGTAAGATGGCAGATTTTCTTCCTGAAAGGACAATAACACAAACTAGATGAGTTTTTAGGACAGTCTACAGTGGCTGCACTTAGGCTAGTTTTTAATTCAAAATTCAACGCCTTCCATGATGGGATTCAAACCCACGTTCACCAAAGCATTAGCCTAGGCCTCTGGATGACTAGTCCAGTAACATTATCACTATGTCACCATTTACATATACAAGACCACTGTCACCGCAACTTCTGTTGGATTGCATTTGTAAGGTCATAATCAACTCCAATGATACTGCAGGGAATTAAAAGTTTCTAAAGGTTTTTGAAAAAAAATTGGAAAGTAAAAGATGGCAAACTGTTTAGTTTGTTCTGTTGGAGCACAATTTTATATTGGGCAATATGTATTGCAATCTCTTTTCTCTCTGGTGTGAACACTCCACCCTCTGCAGTTGGCTACGTACCAATATTAATAATAGAAAAACTAAATTAATGCAAGAATAATTAGGGCAAGCAGCTGCCGCTATCCCAAATACAAAAGGCATCTTGCACTCCATGCATGACCTCTCGATTTGTTGTCACTACTAGGGAGCTTGTATAACATGGTTAGTTCTAGTTTGGCATTTGCAATTCCAATGCCAAAAAAAAAACTGCATTTTTTACATGGATGGTCAGAGACAAATGCAAAATCCTAATGGAACATATTTAGGAATGATTTTAGATGATACTTCATCCTTTTGGGAACATCTGAAAACAACACAATAACCAAATTTGCACAATTCAGCACTAGCCCTATTACACTTCGCAGAAACGTATGCTATTAGGCATAGGCCTTCTCCACACATTTTATTGACACTTATTTGAATGCAATAATGTGCATCATTACTGAATCTTCCACTCAATAGCCCTTCCCCTGGCTTCTTGTCCTTGCAGACATCACTCCCCCACTGATTCGCTGACTGATGAAAATACACAAGTTGGTTGAAAACATCCATCCTGCACCTTGCTCCATGATGATATGTTCAATTCACCTCCTGCTTACCTTCCATTTAACAGAATATTTGCAGGAATGTTCCTGAGCAATATCTATCAGCAGACATCCTTTGGATCAAGGAAGGAGTCACTAACAAGCTCCTCCTGTTGACAGGCAGGCTTTGTATTACCAAGGGAAGAGAGGTCCCTACCACACAGGTTCAGGGCAAACAAGAGCCACTGTGCAGCCAACCTCCACCACAGGCCTCAGTACAAACCGTCAACAGACATGCAGAGAGACACAAACAATGCTGTACATTACTGAATGCCCTCTTCACAGAATAAATGGTGGACTTAGCAAGTGAGGATGATTTCTTTTTGCTCAGGGAATTTGCATTTACTAACTACTCAGTAGTAAGCAAGAACTGTAACATGAGCCTCTTGAGACGTTCGCTAAGATTTCTATCAAAATGAAAGCAATGTGACATTTCGAAGATTATGAAACTGTTCTCTTGCTCTTATCCGGGCACTTTGCAACAGGGAGAAACTGATTCCAATGATAGGACAGTCAATCACCAGAGGAGAGAGATTTAAGGAAAAGCAGCAGGGGGAAAATGAGAATTAAAAACAGTGTAATGCTATGTTACATGAAAGGGTTGTGAAAGCATTTAATAATAACTTGCAAAAGGGAATTAAATAAAACTTTAAAAAGGTTAAATTTGCAGGGGCACAGGGAAAGAACACAGCAAGCGAAACTAATTGGACAGCTCTTGTTCACCAGCTCTTCAAAGGCGTCTAATTAAAAACCTCACCTCTAACAGTTGAATCTTAGCCTCTTTCTCATGCAGCTGGTTTCTCAGGGCTTGGACCTCAGGAGCAGTTGTTGGAGTTTGTTTTGGGTCGAGGGTTTGAATCACCTGGGAGAAAAAGGAAAACAGAAAACATTTTGAAGGATCCAGTCAAACATCTGTACTGGAAAATGCTCAAAATGTAATGGTCAATCTCACTGGTGGAATTTCAGTCATCCTTACCCTGGGTTAATCTGAATCCACCCAAAGCTAATTGAAAAAACCTTAGGGAACAGAACAGATTCTAAACTTTTATCCAAATTAACTTTGTTGCTATGTCTCTTAAACCATAGGAATGTTAATGTTGTAGGCTAGCAAGAATTTTTAATATTTACTGCAATCTTTTTATTTAAAACTGGTTTTCATCTGAAAAATATATGAATTATAGAATGATACCCAGAGGCGATCAAAGGACTTACCGTTCTTGCCTTCTCTAGATACCTCTTGTATCTTTCCTCCATGGCCTTCATGTCTTCATCTTTCTTCTTCAATACTTCCTGAAGTTCGTCAATTTTTCGGGCTGCTATAAATTTAGAAAAAAAATACTGTACTTAAAAATGTTTATTGTTCAGGGTCCAACAATGCATTTCATTGTAAATAATTCTTCTGAACACTTTCTGCTTTTCTAAATATTGCTGCAGTTGGTGGTTAACTTAGCTTCATATTTCAGGGGTAGGGAGTACACAACGTATCCCCTTGCTCTTTTCTCTCCCTCTTCCAAAAGTTATCCACTGGACCGATTTTTTAAAAAAAAATGTTTTGGGAGGTAGACATCAATGGCAAGGTCAGCATTTGTTGTCCATCCTTAATTGCCCTCAAAATGAATGGCTTGCTAGTCCATTTCAGAGGGAAGTTAAGTTGACTACATTGCTGTGGGTCTGCAGTCACAAGACAACTAGACCAGGCAAGGATGTCAATTTCCCTTTCGAGAAGTCATTAATGAATCAGATGGGTGCTTACAAAATACATGGTCACCATTACAGAATACTAGCTTTTAACTGTACATTCAATAACTGAAATTAAATTCAACTGACTGCTGTAGTGAGATTTGAACCCATGTCCCATTAGCCTGGGTCTCTGGATTACTAGCCCAGTAACATTAAGACTACCCATCTTGCCATATATTGGGTACTTTCTGTTCAATTTCTCATTGAAGCATACATAATTTGCACGGGGTTCAACAGGGTAGGTTGGAGATGGACCAGAATGGTGCAAATGGTTCACTTGGTCAATAGGAGTCTGGAACCAGGGGACAGAGTCTCTGAATAACATTTATGACCGAGATGAAGAGGAATTTCGTGACTCGGAGATTGCGAATTTTTGAAATTCTCCCCCCAAGAGGGCTGTGGGGGTCATCACTTAGATACGAGGAATAGGAGACAGTGCAAGAAAATGGTGTTTAGGTAAATGATCAATGGTGATTTAGTTGAATAATGAGATGGCTTGATGGGCTGAATGCCCTATTCCTACCCATTTCCCTATAGTTTTATGATACAGAATGATACCACTGATGCAGGTTTAATCCCTGCACAGGTTGTGTAGTTTACGGAAGTCCTGACTCCTGACCTTACCCCACGCTTGCGAAATGATGCCCCTCAAGCTATATGTAACCAATTATCTTTTCTCCATGGGGAAGGATGACTCTGGTGTTTTGTGGACCACTGTTAATTATTTAGTACCAGCCTTCATTCTAGAGACTGCCAAAACCATGACTTAAAAAGATGATTGACTATTTAACTCCTAATCTAAAAACAAAGCCACAACGGGATAAGGGTGCGTCAGTTAGACTGAGACTTCAGTTGCCATACTAGCTGAGTGATAATCTGTCAGAGTTAAACTGAGCCCTTACTGGATCCACTGCACAATCTGAAGAGGCGCAGAATATGGGGGTGGGGGGTGGGGGTGGGTGCGGGTGCATGGTCTGGGGGCAAATCACACTACACAAGGCCCATTTCCCCATGGCTCTCCACGCTGGCTTCCAGTTCCTCCCAAATGTTTATGGTCTTAGCACAGAGTGGTGGCCCCAACTTGCACTAACCTAGGGACTGTACTGGTACTTGCTAACATTGCTCCCAAAATTACAACCTTGAAATCAAACAGGAATAATGCTCACTCAATTCTTGTTGCATGTCGATCACAGTTAATGCAGAACAGCTGCAGCATTTGACCTCATGACAGTAAACTCATTCCAAAGTTTCAGTGTGCAAAGTGCACCAAGATGTCTGAATGTGCTGAGGAGATTCACTAGTATGGGTAATTCATATTTCTTACCCAAAAGTCTTACCACTTCCAATACTTACTGTGGCTGTCAACAGTAGGCTCTAAGTCATCAATGTACTCTCTCTTTTTCTGTAGTTCTGTGTGGGCTTCATGAAGCTTCTCTCTGTAGCAATATGAAAGGATTCAATTTGGGATTGCAGCACCTTTCTGAACAAGTTAGGCACATTACAAAAGGTGGAAGAAATTGTCAAAAGGAGTATCAAAGAGACAATTTTAATAAGGTATGCAAGCAGGGGAAAAAGGCCCTAATTTCAGAACCACATTGAGCAGCTTCAACCTGCCATTTCATGGCTGCTCCAGAGTTGATTGTCTGATTGTCCTCTTTGGAGTGAGATAATAAGGGAAAAATTCTGAAATAAAAACAGAAATTTCTGGAAAAGCTCAGCAGATCTGGCAGCATCTGTGGAGAGAAATCAGAGTTAATATTTAGGGTCGAGTAACCTTTCCTTAGAATGCGACCTGAAACCTCAGATTGTGTTAAATATTAGCACTAATGTTAATGGAGAAAATTATCACAGTATAAACAATGCAATCATTTTACAATTACCTACACTGCACTGCTTCAGTGTGCAGAGATCAGACGAGTTTTAAACTCTACCTGCATCATACACCATTGTCAGAGGTGGTTGGACATTAAAGTCCATTGAGACAAACACAAATCAAGACTTATGTCGATACAAAGATAATGAAGGCTTCTCTGCCGAACTTCTAAATACTCATTAAGAAGGAGCCTTGCAGTTGTGTATTCCACTATATTTCTATGAAAAATTTACAAAACAGTTCCTAAATGGCTGCGGAAGATTTAACAGAACATCAGAAATAATATGTATTTGGTTTTATGGGACATAATTTTTTACAGTTTCAACAGGATGATTGCAGATATTTCATGGGGAACTATCATTTCTAATTTCGTCTGTAAGGGCAAACCTGCATTGATGACTCTTTCTACTTACAAGTGTTCATCCAGCTTCCGTTTCAGAAGATTAGACTACAAGGAGAAAACAAAGAGAGGAAGGTACACAGTTGAGTTATATACTGGAGCAAAAACATACAACTGTCTCTTCTTCAAAGATCCACGGAAATAATTCTCACATCTACATGAATTACTCACATCGGAAGAAAAATGAAAGCACAATTAAGCACAAAGTCAGAAATAATCTGAATGGACTCCTTGTCCGAAACCACAACTCTTTCACTTGACCATCAAGTTGTAGTATCCCTTTTAACAATGATTTAAATGAGTTCACTGAAATGCCATTATGTATCAATCAGACCTTCGATGCAGCTAGTTTGCTGTTTCTGAAATAGCTATAACCCAATAAGGGAAACAAAATCGTTACCCTACTATCGCTACTTCAACTTTACAACCTCCACTGTGTTGACAGTAAGGCTATTTTTACCTCTATTCTCATTCATTCCCTGACCACAAAACTCTGGAACTTCTTACTTCCCTCAGCCTTGCCATTCTTGTATAGGTTACAAGATTTATAATACAAATTTAACCTCAGAACCACTGTTTCTTATCTTCTCTTTGAACACAAATGTTTGACATCCTGCACTATAGGCCTTGGGCTTTCACCCTGGATTTCAAATTAAACAGATGTGGAAAAATGCGTGTACAATTGTTATGGGGATACCTAAAGTGGCCAGGAGGATTCAAATGTCACTTAATTCTTTGATAAGCTGTATCTGTGTACTGATTTCTTAAGGTTCCTCAATAGGCAACTTTCACATCAGAAGAGGAGACAAAGACCTAAAATAAAAGAAAAATGATCCATAATATTGGAAACATATCTTTGTCACTCCAAACGCTTAGATTTCCAGAAAATGTCATTAAAGCCTCAAAGTGGTTGTGAAATCTCTCATTCTGGGGCTAAAGGGAACATTACCTTTTGCTGAATGCAAGTCAACATTTGAGACAAATGGTAATGTTATCCATGGAAACCTTCACATTATGCCTGGCGTGCACCCTTTATTTGGAGTATTAGTCATGTATTTGCTGGGAGTGCGGGTAAGTTAAATTCTTGCTATTCTAAAGAAAACAAGTAATATTACATATAAAAACAGAAATTGTTTTCTGTTTTCGTTTAGATTTCCAGCATGTGTCTTTTGGTTATAAACACTATCAATTCAGTTCATTACATTCAAAATATTGTTCTAACTCAAAAGTAGACTTGCACTCCTAACTGGGGCCTTTGTAACCAAAAAGTGGATCTCTCAGAGGAGGTGCAGATTTCTACATGCTGTGAATTATCATGGTTTTTACAGCTGTGGTTTAACAATTAATCATTTTCTGGAATTTGAACACTGTTTAGTTATGAGTAACAGACAGTCTTCGCAGATATTATGCTGCAGTTATACAAAACTCTAGTTAGAGCCCATCAAGAGTGCGGAGTAGATTCAGGCATCACACCGTCGGAAGGATGTTTTGGTCCTGGAGGGAGTTCACTACAGATTTATAAGGATGATACCTGGATTTCAGGGGTTAAGTTATGAGGAGAGGTTAGTCAAATTAGGCCTTTTCTGTCTAGAATTTAGAAGGCTAAGGGGTGATCTAATTGAAGTCTAGAGGATACTAAGAGGGAAATACAGGGTACACAAAGATAAACTATTTCCACTAATTGAAGATTCTAGAACCAGACAGCATAGTCCAAAGTTAGGGCTGGGCCATTCAGGAGAGATGTTAGAAAGCACTTACGCATGCAAATAGTGGTGGAGATTTGGAACTCTTGTTCAAACAGTAGTCGATGTTAATTCAATTGTTAAATTTAAATCTGAGATAGAACAAACTTTGGTTATGCAAGGGATATGGGCCCAAGGCAGGCATATGGAGTTAGGCCACAGATCAGCAGTGATCTTATTGAATGGCAGAGCAGGCTCGGGAGCTGAATGGCCTACTCCTGTTCCTACCAGAATATTAAATTCCAGGAGGTGTGTCAATATTAATAGGAAGCTGTTGTTATCCACACATACATGAGCAAGCACACATACACATACTTAAATAAAAACCAAAGAATTGCAGATGCTGTAAATCAGAAACAGCTGGAAGAGCTCAGCAGGACTGACAGCATCTGTGAAGAGAAATCAGAGTTAACATTCCAGGTCTGGTGACCCTTCTTTAGAACTCTGTGTTCTAAGGAAGTGTCACCGGACCTGGAATGTTAACTCTGATTTCTCTCCACAGATGCTGCCAGACCTGCTGAGCTTGTCCAGCTATTTCTGTTCTTGCTGTACTCTACCAAGGAGAAAGCCCACTGAAATGTAGCTGGCTCAAAAAGGCTGAAACTACAGTGGCGCATGACAGCACTACCTTCTCAAGTGCCATTAGGGATGGGCAATGAATACTGCCCTAGACAGTGATTTTATATTCTTTCACATCTTTTAAAAGAATAAAAAGAAAGAGTTACACTATTCAAATCAAGGACTATGCTCAATGCAAACTTGCTTCAGTGTTTCCTATATTGCAACAGTGTCTGCTTTTCAAATTGGCTATAAACTGCTTTGGAACATCCTCATGTTGAGATAGGCAGCGCACAAATGCAGGTTTTTGGTAGCAGCTGTCAACTTTATCTGATTTGACGTATCTGTACAAGCAAAGGAAATCTCAAGTCCATCCACAGGGATTGAAATTCCTGCCAAAAAAGGAATTTCTACTTCAAAATATTACTGGCTATACAGCATTTTCTGAGCATACAATTATGATTTCCTATTCCTCCCATAAATCCATTCCTAACTCTATCTGGTCCCATTTATAGTCAACTATTTTAGTTTGTATTATTCAGCTAGTCTTTTTGGATTGGTTTTTGAAACTCCAAAACTTTGTTCTGACCCTAGAGACCAGTCTTAAATTCTAAATCTGATATAGCTCTAATCCTCTCTCCTAGTTTGGTCCTTCGGTAATACATTGAGGGTTCACTGCTCGGTGGGAGTGTAGCCTTTAATTTGAAGAACTGACTTTGTTACATATCCTCGTTTGGTCCTTCTTATGGTCCACAACAATCCAGCAAGTTCAGAAATCCTAAACGAATACAAAGCATGCCAAACATTTGATGAAGACCTTACTTAACATGAAGGATGAGTGAAAGAGTTAGGTGACGATTTTACAACCATAATAACCAGGACTGAATATTATCTACAGCATTTAACCCTTTGAAAAGTTTCAGATATCACACACTTGTACTGAAAAAATATTCTCTATAAATTTTCAATTAGAGACATTGTTGAGAGGTAAGTAAAATGTCCTCGGAATTGATCATTCTATAATTCTATATGAACTGCCTAGCTCTGTGGCATGATCTGAAATCTAATTACTGATTATAGGGACATGGGAATGTACAATAAAAGGAAAATTTACTGTGGGCCACTGGCCAATGCCAGCAACACCATGCTTGGGATGTAAAAATCCATAGATCGTAGCAGAAGGTGGTGGTGTAACATTTGTTATTTTAAAGTCCTGGTAAAGGACAGGTCAAGAATCAGAAAGATAACATACAGGATGGGCAATGAGGTAGGAGAAGCACATTTCTCGCATTACCCAAACAGATAGAGGAGTTCAAGGAATATCTGTTTTATGATCTATTAACATCATCAGGTCATCTTCAGCAATAAAGAAATTGAGGCTCTGCACTCATCTTAGTAGGAAAAAACCGTCAGTCTTCAAAGGGTTAAAACCATGCCCAAACCAAAAATCAAGGAAAGAAAATTAGCACTTTAAATGTGAACATTGAACCTTGGAAGATTTCCAAATTAAATGGTGATTCAACATGAACAAGCAAAAAAATTTGCTAGGTGTTTAAACAGTGCACCAGGCCAACAGTGCGTGCAATTTTTCCACTGATTTATGTTTTTGCTGTACACTAATTCTGGATGAATTTCTGATGCTGATATACTTACAATGGCCTATTGCAGATGAGAACACAGAAGGGAAAAGAAAGAAATACATTAGACATTTACAAACCAAAGTTAATCCACATTAGTCAGTGCCACATTGTACATTACATCTTCGTTAATGAGAGGATGTTATATTTGAAACTTTTGACACAGCTGCCCAGTGAATGGAAGAACAACTCAAACTGATCTATACAAAAGTTACACATATGGTCTTCAATCTTCGATTTCTCTCTACCCTTGATTAGGTGAATGATTCAGGTTCTTTTCTAATTAATCCTTCTTCTTTATCGCTGTAATCTCCTCCAGCCCATAACCCTCCTGATCTACCAAGCATATCTGACTTTAATTACTGCACCATCAGTGACCTAGCCTTGAGCTGTCGGCACCCTAAGCTTTGGAATTCCAATCTTAAATTTAAACTCTCTGAACAAGCCTTCAGCTACTGACCCTACTATTGTCTAACATGTACCGATGTCAAATTTTGCTTCATAACTGTGAAGCCTCTTGAGAGGTTTTATGCGATTTAATGCGCTGTATGAGTACATGCTTTTGTTTGTTACAACTGACCTTTAAGTGCCTGTAGAATGGAGGAAGATAATTAAATGTGCAAATTTTCTTCTTTAAGTTTGTACAAACATCACCAGCAAACTTCTCCAACAAATTCTTCAGCTGCAATCACATAATCTGACTGGCTTCAGCATCATGATTCTATTTCAAACCCCATCTAGCTCCACAGGCAAAGTTAGCGCTAATGATGAGGTGGACCTTTGAGAATTAGATCAGGCTAAACTTCACTTCAGACATGACACAAACAGGAGGATGGGATTAGTTGCAGGAGATGGAACAAGCAACAGCAAGAAAGACGTACACAGATGAAGGGCGGGAGATTACGTGAAGTGATTCCAGGCTTCACTGGGCATGTTGTTCTTTCCTGAAGACTAGGCTAGATTACTATTCAGCATTTGTACTCACATCTTCAGCCTTACTTCCTTGCTCCTGTAGAGCCCTTTGGAGTTGATCGACTTGTGACCGTAACTCAGTGATCTGCTGTTGATTCAACCTAGAGCACATTGGTTACAAGGGTTAAAAATGCACTCCTTATCATCCAGTTGCCCAAAGTGTTTGCATTACATTGGCAGCCCTTGCTTTTGAGAAAAATAATAAAAATTTCCATCCATGAAAACAAAAACATTAGTGATCAGCTTTGCTGCAGAAGATAGGAGCAAGACTAATACAATAAAACTATCAAAACTGTCTATACTAATTGTATGCATACTGGAGTGTCAAGGGCCTAGAGGGATTTAAATTAATGCCCCCTTGTGTCTCAAATGATGATACCAACAAATCTTGCTGATCTGATTTAGGATTTATCCTTCAATACATTCCAAACTCCTGCTTCACAAAGTTCAAACAGGACAACCAAGCAAAGAAGAAACAAGAGAACTGAGCTGCACCCTCCCCTCCCAACCTCCCCACTACACACACCCCTCCCCCAACCTCTTCCCACTCAGAGGCTGAGGGGTTATACCTTGGCACCTAATTTCAATTCTTGAGCCTCTGCTTTTGGGAAGGTAAGTTGTAACACAACTATATCCCAGCATTAAGAGATACTTAAAGAGTGCCAGATCATACACCATCTATATACAGCAGCTTCTTACATGTTCTTTTCTTTCACCTGCCCCTCAAAAGAAGCACTTCAACTGTAAAAAGGAGCTTGTCCTTTGGTCAAATCACTTGTGTTCGACATTCAGGTTAAACCTGAATCATACTGAAATTCCATAGGGCAAAAGCGTTTACATGGACACGTACATTTATATTCCATATTCAAACACACACATACATATGCACATTATTAATTGCTCTAGTGGGATTTTCAGATTTCTGTGCAATGAAATGCAGTTTTCTTGGAGATACTGAGCAAAAGGAGTTTATTTTAGATCATCTGTTGCAACACAAAATCCTGCAACCACAGGCCTAGATTCTCCACAGCAAGAAACAACACAATTCAAGTACGTGCTTGCATAACTTGAGTAAAAACACACCAACAAGGACGTTACTGTCTTACTGTCTGTAACTCCTCCACCAAGCCCATCAACGTATTTCCTATTTGCTGCTAACCTGTTTTCATTCTCCAGTTTGTGTTTGTTCCTGTTGGCATCATCCAGCATACTCTGGAACTCCGTTAACCGGTTGTTGTATGTCTCCTCTTGTTGTACACGTAGCATCTTATTCTCCCGTTGCAGCTGAATGATCTTTTCCCTGAAAGCATTATAAGCCACACAACAGTATTGTCAAACTAAGCACGAAGGTAAATTTCTTTTAGGAAATTAAGATCCCAACAGTTTGAGTTCTTTTAAAAAGAATGAATGTGCTTTTATATAGCAGCCTTCATAATATCAAGATGGCTTAAAGTGCTTTGTAACCTCAGGCTGGAATCACCTGCTAGCAAAAGGAGTACATCACAGAAGTGCTAAGGGAAGACAGGGGCAAGGGGATCAGAAGAGGCCTCTCAATGGACAATCCCTGCACTATGTTCATGTGCTCAATCAGGCATTGATTGCTTTTGATTGAGCCTTCCCACCCACAGCTGACAAGCAAACGCACTCTTTGTGCTTTCAGAATGCCACATGTCAGCAAATCCTCTTGCAGATGGGTTAATCATAGTGGTGGTGCGCAGAAGCCTTTATGTGGTCCTTAATTTGTAATGGAAGGGTGGAAGGGTGTCAATTGGCAGCAGGGCAGGAGGATCAACTACGGACTTGCCCACCCTTACCTTAATTCCAGTGAAAATGGAAAAGTGACAGAATCGGCTAAGCCACCACCCTGCCTAATTAAGTGCCTTTCTTGCCTCCTGTTTTGCTGCCTCCAGGAGTACAAGACTCTACTCAGAGAATCAAACAGTATAGAGGGATTTCATTCGACCCATCATGCCTCTACTGGATCTTTTAAAAAAAAAAATCCGCAATTAATCCTACTCCTTGTTATTTTGCTTGCAAAATTCTGATCTCAATGCATGATATGGGAATTGCATTTCTATAGGACCTCGACATTGCCTTTCAACATCTAAAGTGCTTCATGATTTCTCATTCTTGTATAATGCTCACTGTTTCTTAGTGCAACCATCCCTGTACACATGATCCCACAAAACGCAAATAAAAAAATCATTTCAGTGATATTGATGAATGCCAAGATGGGGATGTGGGGAGTGAAGAACACCCTCTCACCTCCAGTAGCATTAGGCTAGCTTGCAAAATATTTGTGAGGTGTCATCACTTGCAGTGTTTTATGATATCTGGGGTTGGGACAATTGGAAAATGAGAAGGAAGTGGAAGGGAATGCCAAGCCACATTGGCAGAGTACATTCCAAACTATGAATGAAACCAGGGATTGAAATCAGCAACAAGCTGTGCTTTGGCCACAGCCAATGTTAACTGCTGAATCACTTATGCAGCGTACCAAACAAAAGAGACTACACATTAATTTTGTTTTCCGTAGAAAAAGTATGTCATCGCCATTTTGTCTTAAATAAAAAACTGAAATTAGATTTGCACTTCTCCAACTTCAGATTTTTAAAGCTATTTTTGCATTCAAGTCAAAGCTAGTTGCATGACAGTAACTTCTACTTAAATCTCAATTATGTTCACTGACCACATCAAAGGCATTGATTTCTCATGGCATACACGATCGCACATTCTATTACTGTACTTCAGTCTCAGTACTGTACCACAGCTAAGTGAGCATATTTCATGTCAGTTTGGGTAACGTGTATTTCAATGTATTTGATGGATGTGTTGCTTTTTACAATCCATCTGCAGTAACTCAGTAGAGACCAGAAGTCAAATCTGGGATCCACGGAGAAGAGTATGCGACACTAGAACGTCGCAATTGTCAACTAGAGGAAGTTCAGGCAAGCCCAGCAGAATACACTGGAATAAAAGCAAAATGCTACAGATATTGGAGTTCTGAAATAAAAACAGGGAGGAGAGACTTTGGAAATGGAATCAGTCTCTTCCAAAGAAGTGTCATGTTGGACTTATAAGGTAAACTCTTGTTCTGCAAATGATATCAGACCAGTTGAGTTTCTTTAGCACTTTCTGCTTTTATTTCAAAATACACTGGAAATTTGTTTCAAATGAACATGTAACTCTTTATTTGCAGTGCGAGGTAATGTTCCTTGTAAAATTTTATTGTGTGTTGTAGCTCATTCAATGCAGTGGTACCTTGACATTTCAAGGCCTGTGTGTGGCCTTTCAGGCCGCCATGTAAGTGTGTTGCTTACTGGCATCATTGGTGCGAGATGCATAGCACCATTCACAAGGGCACAGCTGCCAAATGGTGGAATTGACATCGACATAGGCACTAAATATTAATGTAAACTAGTTTAGATGTGAACACTGTTGAAAGAAACTGGGCACAGCCAAGGATGGGTCATAGGAGGTAGCAAAGGTAGCCTTACTGAAAACAAAAACAGAAATTGCTGGAAAATCTCAGCAGATCTGAAGAAGGGTCACTGGGCTTGAAACATTAACTCTGCTTTCTCTTCAGGTGCTGCCAGACCTGATGAGCTTTTCCAGCAATTTCTGTTTCTGATTTCCAGCATCCCCAATTCTTTTTTTTGTAATGGACTTACTGGAGCACTGCAGGAACCATCTCGGCTGCAAGGTTCCCTACTGACACATCTTGATCAAGGGCTGTGTCTGAAAAAAAAAACACATAGAAAAAAAAACACATAGATCAAAAAGTTATATGCAATACACATGTTTCAGACACATTTCCCCACATTTATAGTGTGCAGGACAAGTGATATCAAAAATCACATGACTGTACTGCTACAGGATGATCTCGGCAGTTTAAAATATATATAGGTTGTAGCTTCCAAAACCAAGGGCAATCTACACATTAGTTGAGTCTTTGGTTTGAGAATCGACGAAGATTATAAAGATAACAGGAAACAAAGTATAAATGGTAGCATGAATGGAAAATAATAATTTTGAAACAAAAGTATTAAATGCACAAAGCATACGGAAAATAGAAAGAAATCCAATCATTTATACCATGGGTATAACAATAATTACCCAAAAATGCAAGGTTGGAAAGATAATATTTTCCAACTAGTATACATTTAATAGGAAACGTTTATCTCATTTATCTTTAGAGGAAATTCATGTTGGACAGTAGGAAACAGCAAGAAAGAAAATGAATCAAGATCTAAGATTTCTGGGGATAAAGTTGGCTTTTCTAGTTTGCACTGAATGTTCCATTCTTGTTGAGTGCGACTGGCTGCTTTTTTTTTTAAAAAGATGGACTGTGCTTTTAATCCAGTGATACCATACAACATACTAACGCAGGACAGGAACAGGCCATTCAGCCCACAAAGTCTGCGTGAATTCCTAATCCTTATTCAGACTTGCTACTTATCGCGGGTTTCTATCCCACTGTTCACCTCCTGTTCACGTCCGTCAAAGTACACCCTAAATTTTGCTAACATGCCTGCTTCCACCATCTTCACTGGCAGTGCGTTCCAGGCCCCCAGCACAGAGTGTGAAAATTTATCCCCGCACTTCTCCCCTAAACTTTTCCCCTCTCACCTTGAATCTGTGCCCTCTTGTAGTTGATCTGTCCACCTCGGGAAAAAGCCTCTGTCTATCCACCCTATCTAATCCTCTCATAATTTTGTAGACGTCTATCAGGTTGCCCTTCAGCCTGCATCTTTCCAGTGAAAACAATCAATCGGAGTTTATCCAACCTCTCCTCAAAACTAAAACCCTCCAGACCAGACAATATCCTGGCAAACCTTTGCTGCACCGTCTCCAAAGCATCCAAATCCTTCTGCTACTGTGGCAACCAGAACTGCACGCAATATTCCAAATGTGGCCTAACTAAAGTTTTATATAGCTGTAACATAACTTGCCAATTTTGATATTCGATTCCCTAGCTGATAAAGGCAGGCATGCTGTATGCCTTCTTGACCACCTTATCCACCTGTGTTGCCACTCTCAGGGATATGTGGACCTGTATGCCCAAATCCCTCTGTATGTCAATGCTCCCAAGGATTCTGCCATTTATTGTATAATTTGCACCTGAAATTGATGTTCCAAAATGCATCACCTCGCATTTGTCCGGACTAAACACCATCTGTCATTTTACTGCCCAAATCTGCAATCTTTCTACATCCTGCTGTATCCTGTGATAATCCTCCTTACTGTCTGCAACTCTGCCAATTTTGGTGTCATCCACAAACTTACTAATTGGACCACCTACATTTTCCTCCAGATCCTTTATATTGTTTCAGGTGTTCCCGGTGGAACACCACTAGCTACTGATCTCCATTTCATATAGCACCCTTCCACCGCTACTGTCTTCTATGACCAAGCCAGTTCTGGGTTTGGCCATCTAGCCAAGTACAATGTCTTGATTCTACATAAAACCATGAGTATGCCCCAAATGCTAAACAGACTTTGAACTTACAGTATAATGAGAAGCATGGGGACGTTTAATTCATTTACATGCATTTGGTCATCACTGATAAGGCCAACGTCTGTCCTTGAATGTCCCCCAGAAGATGTTGAGCCTCCGCCTTGAATGCAACAGAGTAGCTTTGGGACATTATAGCAGGAAATTAAGCATCAATCACATATCTTTGGCACCACTTATAAGCCCAGACCAAATGAAAATGGCAGATTTACTTCCTTGAACCAGAGAACCAATATCCGGTTGTTATATTTTCATTGTTACCAATGCTAGATTTTGAATTCCAGATTTAATTAAATTGAAATAAAATACCCAGATTTTAAACCTCTCTCTCAAGATCATTGATCCAGCTATGTTGATTACTAAACCAGTAACAGAACCACATGCTAGCACACAACACCAACTGGTTTACCTGCTTTGTTCAGGAACTTTTGCTGCACTTGTGCACACCTCAGCTCTTCATTGGTTTCCCTGAGGGCATCTCGTTCTACTATTAACCGCTGGGGAAAAAAAATTCAATTAAAGTAAGCTGGTATGTAGCAGCTACAATTAAATGCAAAGTTTAACATTTTGCATTTGGACCACTGCTGTTTAATGGCTTTTCAACAGGAAATTTCCACGGTGTATTCATTTCACAGTTGCAGCTGCTCCCACAATACTAACGGCATGGCAAGAAGGCAGTTTGGCTAACAAATTCCTTCATTTGCAAATCTCCTGCTGAAAAGTCCAGTTCCCGTTTAAGGTGGGGTTTCTGGTTGGGTTCTCTTACTAACAAGTGGTTCCGTGGCCAACCTCTGTGTTTGGTCCTTTCCTTATTTGGAAAATGTAACCTAAAGACTAATAATGGGGCAAAATTTTCTGAACCATAGCTATCCCAAATTCACACAGGTAAATTAGCCAGTGGTGTTAAAACAAATTCTGCAAAGGTCACAGAGATGTTAATGAAAACATATCAATGATATATAATCTCTTTACTTCTGAAGAATAGTCATATTGGACTTGAAATGTTAATTTTGTTTCTCTCTCCATTGATGCTGCCAGCCCTGCTGAGTCACTCTAGTATTTTGCTGTTATTTCATATTCTCTTCAATGTCTCATTTGCAGCCCATCCTAAACTAATTTTCCTAATCATCCAATTCTGGAAAAAGTGACTATTTTCACTATTGCTTGGTGCATCAACAGGACTCTCAGCAATTATACAATCAGATACAAATCTGAAATAAAAACAGGAAATGCTCAATATGCTCTGCAGATTTGGCAGCATCTTTGAAGAGAGAAACAGAGGTAACCTTTCAGGTCAAAATCATCCTAAAATGTTAAGTTCAGTTGCTCTCTCCACAGAAACTGCAAGCCCTCTTGAGGATTCCCAACATTTTCTGTTTTTCACTTCCTAAGATCGTGGTTGGAACACTTGAAATGCTGATCGTCCACTCATTCAGGCTGATGGACATGTTTTGATTTCCACTGCGGGCTGGGTATAATTTTGGTATTGAGCACTTACCTCTTTCTCTTTCAGCAGTGCATCATGTTTTTCCTGTAAGTGCTTGAACTCAAACTGCCACTTCTCTGTTTTCATTGACTCTTCTATCTGTTTGTTGTGAAGTTCATGAACCTTCATAGTTGCAAACACAGTGAGAAATTAAAAAGAAAGGTCAGATTTTACTCCAGTTTGACAGGAAAAGAAGCTTAAATATGTTGAACAAGTTCAATATATCTGTGGCAAGATAGCCACAAGCGGTTTCCAACGTGGATGGGCCTACATGCAATTTAATATCAAGCCAGTCTTGGTCAAGTAACTATGAGGTGATTATTGTGATAAATGGAATTACTGTTGCTGGAAGGCACTGGAGCAGGTTAGAGATTGGCAGAAATTTCAACGGATAAAATGCGATAACAGCACATTTCACATTACCTGTCTCTTGTAAGTTTCCAGCTGACTACGTACTGAGTTTGCTTTTTTCAACTCTTCCTCTAGGTCAAAGGTCTTTTGCATGTACACAGTGTTCCTCTCCTCCAGGAGTTTGACTTGTCGACGCAGGTCTCCCAAATCCTCAAGCTTCCTCTTGTAAGCCTCCACAGTAGCCTCCAGCTTACTGACTTTGTCTGAAGAATGCCTATCAAACAGCATCCACAAAACTCTCATTTGCTCTGATTTCATTACTGTTTTAAAAGAAACCTTCTAAAGCCATTTTTACACGTGCAAAGTAGAAGTTCCTTACTTTAGCCAGAAAGTAGAAAGCTTGTGTTGAGTCAGCAGTTCCACAATGACATAATATCTTCATGTACCAATAACAATTTTTGATAGTTTTCCTAGCTACTTGTTGCTGTTTTTACTGTGCTGTCTAACATCTTTGCTCGGTGCCCACATTGGGAAGTCAGGTAATTCTAATTAGGTGAAGTAGAACAAAAGCCCAGAAAACTAGACAACTCCTGGTGTTGTTTGGAAAGAAAGGAGGTGGTAGTTAAGTGCACATCAATTTTTCCACAAAGAAATGATACATGACAGAGTGCAACAGCAGGAGAAAAAAATCATGAGGGTTTCAAAGTTGATAGGTTGTTTGGGATGAAAAGAGAAAAGCTTATTTCAAAATGCCTTGTGTTTCACTTGAACTTCCCCAAGAAGATGTATGGAATTTATATAGCACAAGAGCTGATATACTACTTGTCAACTAAATGTTTTGACTTGCTGACTTGGAAGGCTTTCATTTTGAATATTTAACAGTAACCTTAGAACCGGTGTGCACAAGAGCAAGAGTTTTCTAAAAATCCATCAAGACTAAAATAATTGGTCTATCCCAAAAACTGGAAGTCACAAAGAAAAATAAACCACTGGTGAGGAATTGTGGGATAATGAGGGAATGAACGCTTTAGGTTAATGAAGATAAACAAGCATAACAGTGACCATTAACAAACAAGCATGTCAGCCGCTACCCACTATTGTAACAACAGTCTGTGAATTGATTGTGGTGAGTGGATGGCCCTTCAGCTGGGGGTTCCTGGCTGCTGGTTGCTACTCAGTTCTTCATTACTTCTGCTACAAAAACACAACTTGGCTCAAGTTGCAAGTACAACACATTTCTATCATGCAATTTAAGTTTGCAAATTAGCAACCAGCAGTTGTAACCTTACCTCAAAACATCCATTTCATCTTTGAGAGACTGTGATTCCTCAGCCAGGCTGGTGAGCTCATCATTCCTGCGCTGCAGATCATACATCTCCTTCTCCATCTGCTCACATCGAATACGAAAATCATCCTTCATTCCTTCCAACCTGGGGAAGGAGCAGGAAGGGTTTAACTTTTCTTCAGAAAAAAATGGGGTATTAGGCTGGAATCTTGGATGTCCCCATCTACCTAGAATTTCCCATTGACAAGTACCAGGTTTATTTTGAGCCAACCAGGACAGCATTAAAACAGAAGGTGGAAGGAGAGGATTGTTCCATTCAGTTTCAGTCAAAATTACTTTTCTTCTACAATCTTCCGACACCTCAAGATACTTAGAGCTAATCAGATTTCTGTGGAATGCAAGCTCTTATAAAAAAAAAATACAACTCTTAATCAGTTTGGCTGCGAGGGACGGTGTCCACTACAAAATAATTTTCTGCACCTGATTTTGACATGCAATTTGTTTAAAGTATCCTCAAAGGTCTGGGTTTGCTGATTATTTTCCACCCCCCAACTGCATGCAGTAATTTAGTAGAGTAAGAAAGATACCTGAAGTTTTCCTCCTGTAACTGCTCCAGTTGACTCTGCATCAAAAGGAGTTTTTTGTTGGTGACACTGGTGGATTCCTCGAAGGAATCAGAGCGGGCCATCCGTTCACGCAGCACTTTGTTCTCAGCCATCAAGCTGCTCTTCTCATCCAGAAGACTTGTGACCTGAGGGGAAAACTTGAAAGAGTCACGGCCTTGGAAGGAGCAAGGAAGTGTGTTAGGAAAATCATTGCTGATCAGTGAAGGTTACTGAGCTCATGTGCAGCGCTCCAAACCCCTTTGATAAAAGCCATCTGATAGAGATCGCCTCCTAGACAAGGAATAAACATAACTTTTTCTTCCCACTAAGTCTGCTTTCAAAATGAAATGAACACAAGGCACTAAAAATGTGACTGCCCTTCCACACTGGTGTATTCTCAATACAACATATTTACCCACTTCGACAGAATGTGATGTTCCTAAATTGAAGCTACAGCTGTACAGTTACTTTGATCCCTCTTTAGGGACAGTATTATAAGTAGTGGTTCAAACTGGTTTCTCAGCATAGTATCTACATTTATAAACCTCTTCTTTCCTGTCCTTAGGCTCAACTACAAATAGAATAGCATAACACAGCTGTTAGATGTCTCCGTAAACAATCAAAACGTAGTTGCTTTTCAGTAGGAATGGACTACCTCCCTCTATCCAAGGTCTCCCTTGGTGTATATGGTGAGGCCCAAGTTGGAACATCAATTGTCAATGCTTTAAATGAACAAAACAACCATGGCACATGATAGGAAACATGAACAAATCAGGATAGTAGTGTGATGGTATTTTGTGGTTCATAAATATTCACAAAACTTGCATGCGCACTTAAACAGCACCGAAATCAAGTTAATCATGCACAGCCATTTTCAGGCAAATGACAAGTATAAGTCAACTCTGACTCCCTGCCAACCTCTTGGCTTCTTTACAGCCAGAAAGGCAGATGGGCTGGGCAGTCATCTTCTCCACAGCAGCTAACAATACTTCTGAGTTATACACAACATCTTTTGTTACTAGACACGAGTCTTCTCTTTCTGTCTTCCTCTTCCTTACTCCAAGCTTTGCTTGAGACATGCTCCTTGACCAAGGGTTGGCAGACATGTCAGATGCACTGCTTCATGACTTATTTTTTCATTGGGTGTAGATGTCCCTGACTGCCCATCCTAATTGTATTTGAACTGAGCAACTTGCTGGAACACTTCAGAAGATAACTAACAGTCAACAATATGTAGAACTGTCCCCAGGGTAGGGTGAATCAGGGCCCATAGTGGGACTATAGACTCCTGGGAAGAATTGGATGCCTAGGTGGGAGTGACCTTGACAAATCACAGGTGACAGGATGGCAGATTTCTTTCCCTAACAGGATATCAGTGAACCAGCAGGATGTTTACAACATTGTCAATTGTCTTGGTAATTGATACCATGAAACTATGTTTCTTTTCCAGATTAATTGAATTTAAATTTCATCTGTTGCTGTGTTGGGACTTGAACTGGCATCCCCAGAATATTAAGCCTCTGGATTATTTGTCCAGTGACATCACCACTATGTCACCATCTTCCCCCTAAATACTGAACAAAATCATAAGGACCAACTAAATATTCTGGCTGTGCTACATTACCCATTTCTAATGGAGTGTTAGGAGGGGTGGTACAATTGCCTCAGTAACCCTTGAGCTGAGGAGGGAGAGGTGAGAAGGGGCAACAGAAAAACTGAAGAGATAGTAGGAACTGCAGATGCTGGAGAATCTGAGATAACAGGGTCTAGAGCTGGATGAACACAGCAGGCCAAGCAGCATCAGAGGAGCAGGAAGGCTGATGTTTCGGGCCTAGACCCTTCTTCAGAAAATCAG